AAGCAGGTTTTAACAGGGGGGTGGGCTTATAATCGAGTAAATTTATAAGCGCCAGCGTTTATAAAATGACATATATATTTTTTATATCTTTAAACACCGAACTATAGGTCTCATGCTTGCCTTTTCAATCGAGTCGAAGCTACATGGGGTCGTCTGTGAAATTCTCGCGCGTGCTGGGAGATACACCCAATCTTGAGAAACTTTGAACGAGAATGGATTGACTAAGGAATGAAATTGATACAAATATGAAACCCTAGAATTGTGTACCCCTTAGTATCTAACCCGCTACAGCCTACACAGGCTAGATCATATAAGTTTGACACACCCCCATAGGCAAAGTGGGGGAGAACAAGGGGTCACAAGACCAGTCAAGCAAAGCAAGGCAAAGCAAGCTCAGGGTGGATCACAACGTCACCACACATTCTGAGCACAAGTTCAAGGCCACAAGGCCAGTTCACATGCATGAGTACACACATATACATAACGCTAAACAAGCAAGAGCAGGTATATATATATGTAACAGTACAAGCAAGGTCAAGAAGTGAGCAAGTGAGGCAAGGTAGGTACAAGACCTAACAGAGTACAGAAGCGCTGATGATCACAAGGCGCAAGTGCCTTGGTGAAGATATCAGCAGTGTTGGCCTCATAGGCCACGTAAGCAAGGCGCAGCTGACCTCGCTGCTGCAGCTCACGAGCAAGGAAGTAGCGAAGAGCAATGTGCTTCGTTCTGTGCTCCAGTCTGTGCTCCCGACACAAGGCCAGCATGGCCTTGTTGTCTACGTAGAGAACTGGAGGAGAACGAGGCGGCTCTCCTAGGTCAGTCAGCAGGTAGGTGAGCCAGCGTAGCTCCTGTGCAGCCATGGCCCCTGCGTAGATCTCAGCCTCACAACTGGAGCCGAGAACAGAAGACGAGCGCGTAGACCGCCACGAAACAGAGCCGGAACCAAGGCTGAAGGTGTAACCCTGTGACGACCGCTGCGTAGCCTGGTCGTCAGCCCAAGAAGCGTCTGCGTGACCAGTGAGGACCACTAGACTCCACCCTCCAAGCACTAGCCCCATGCCCGACGTACTGCACAAGTAGCGCAACACCCTCTTCGCTGCAGCCATGTGCTCTGGTCGGTGTCTCCCAGGAGCAACATAGCGTGCGAGAATGCTAAGAAGGTATGCAAGGTCAGGTCGTGTGCAGGTCATCAGGTACATGAGGCAGCCAACAAGCTCTGGGTACGGGCCACTCGACTCTACGGACTCATCCGAAGGCAGAGCTGAGAGCGAGTGGCGAGTAGACAGAGGAGTGGCCTGAGGCGAGGAGTACGTGAAGGCGAAGCGCTGAAGGACCTGCTGCACCATGTGTGACTGAGTCAGGGTAATGGTGCGCTGTGCTCTGTCCCGGGTGATCTGCAAGCCAAGGTAGCTACGCAGTTCACCCAGGTCTGTGCACGTGTGTCTCTTCTGCAGCTCGGACTTCACGTGGGCGAGTCCAGCAGTGTCACCTGTGGCAAAGACCAAGTCGTCGACGTACATGAGGATGTAGAACGGTGGCAAAGAAGTGTTGGTGCGCAGAAACAACAACGGGTCGGCAGTAGAGGGAGCAAACCCAAGAGCCGCAAGTGTAGTCCTCAGTGTGTCGTGCCACTCACGAGGTGCCTGGCGGAGACCGTAGACTGGCCGCCGGAGGCTCCACTGGGTACCAGGAGGAAAAGACCCAGTGAAGCCAGGTGGGTGGCGCAGCCAGATCTCCTCGTGCAGGCTGCCCTGCAAGAAAGCACTGCTGAAGTCAAGAGAGTGAAGCTCGTAGTCACGGTGAGCGGCTATGTGCAGCAGTACCCGAAGAGTGGTCATCTTCGGGGTGGGAGAGAAGGTATGAAAGTAGTCAACTCCCTGCCGCTGACTGAAGCCACGAGCCACGTAGCGCGCCTTGAAGACAGGCGGAGAACCCGGCGGCCGCTTCACCCTGAAAATCCACATGCCACTGACGATGTTCGCCCCAGGAGGGGGAACCTTGTCGACGTAGGTGCCTGTGGACTTCCAGGAAGCCATCTCTGCATCCATGGCCGCCTGCCACTGAGAGGAGTAGGGACCCTCTATTGCCTCCGTGTAAGAGCGTGGAGTCGGGATGTCTGGTGCATATGGGTCTTTCTTAGGGGCAAGCAGCATGGACACGAGATGAGGTGAAGCAGCAGCAAAGCACTGGAACTCCTCCTGCCTGTCCTCAAGGACGTCCGTGCCAAGGGCAGACTCACCCCCGACGGACAGAGGACAGACAGACTCAGACTCAGCGACAAGACTAGCAGCGTAGTCTAGGCGACAGCGAGCAGCGAAGTCGACAAGCTCAGAAACTAAGGCAGACACAGCTGCGGACTCAAAGGAAGGGTTAGTGACGACAGTGGCAAGGAGACGCGTGACAGTAGGACTGGCAGCACGAAGGGAGTCCGACTCCGGGTCAGCAAGAACAGGAAGAGAGGACTCAGGAGGAGAAGGCAAAGGGGCACGTAGCGGAGCAGTGGAAGGACGCAGAGACATCCGGTGCGTGCCGGGGACAGGGGGAGGACGCTGACGCGAACCACGACTACTAGTGCGAGCAGCACGGACATGCGACGCAGGACCAGACTAAGGCTCACGACGCTCAGCAAGACCTCCAGTAGGACCAGTGTAGGGAGAAGGAGCAGGCAGAGGAGAGGTAGGCTGTAACTGTGACTCGGACTGGACAGGCGGTGGACACTCTAAGGGAGGAGCCGGACTAGCAGAGGGCGGAAGACCAAGAATCTGCTCAAGGAGCGGAACGAAGTACGGCCGCGGCCGCTCTGCACCACCAGCACTAGAAGGGACAGCACCTGCACCCCGAATGACTGCACCAGCGCCAGCAGCACCCCCAGCTCCAGCAACGCCAACTCCAATACCCTCAGAGGCACCTTCACCAGAGGCACCCTCAGCGCCAACACCCCCAGCAGCTCCAGCTCCAGCCGGACCACCAGAAGACGCAGCGGGTCCAGCTCCAGCACCCTTAGTAGCACCGACGCCCGCAGCACCACCAGCTACGAGAAGCACCCGCAGGCCCAGCAGCTCCAGTACTCCCAGTACGAGCACCTCCGGGACCCGCGGCACTAGCACCCTCAGTAGCAGCAGAACCTCCAGCACCCGCAGCACCTCCAGCTCCAGCAGCTCGCCTCTAGCTCACGCAGCTCCTGTGGAGAGAGTAGCTCCCGCCGGGACGACGCACCAGAAGAACCTCCAGGCCCAGCACCGCCAGACGCCACACGAGTAGGTCTAGTACCCTCAGACTCCGCACCCCCAGACGCACCACCCCCAGAGTCAGCACCCCCAGGCTCAGCATCCCCAGACGCAGTACCCCCAGGCGTAGCACCCCCAGGCTCAGCACCCCCAGGCGTAGCACCCCCAGAGTCAGCACCTCCAGGCTCAGCACCCCTAGCAGCACCCCTAACAGCTACCTCGACAGGGTCGACTGGGTCTACCTGAGACACACCTGAGGGGGCAGGACCTTGAGGGGGGAGGGGGTCTACCGGAGGGGGACCTGGTGTAAGGAAGAGCGGCGGGGGGGGGGAGGGACGCAGTGCGGTAGGGGAAGAGACGGTAGTAGGGAACCGACTCGTCAAACGTGACGTCCTGGGAGGACAGAACACGGCGCGAGGTGGGGTGGTAGAACTGCCAGCCCGGCGCGTCAAGGGGGAAGCCAAGGAAGACGCTGGGAACAGCACAAGGGGACAGCTTGTCCGCAGACAAGTCGCGGACAAACGCTCGAGATCCCTAGACACGGAACGGAGACGCATCGCCAACCTTCCCCGTCCACAGCAAAGCAGGGGAGGTCTCCTGCATGGAGACCCGGGGCTGAAGGTTGATCTGATGCGCCGCGTACCGAACCGCAAATGGCCACAGAAAATAGGGGGGCAGCCGCATGGACCATGGACGTACGAGCGACGTCCATGACCATGCCAATGCGGCGCTCAGCGATCCCATTTTGCTACGGAGAGTCCGGAAGCGTGAAGGTCTGGCGAATGCCTCGTGCACGACAGAAGGCTCGTAGAAGGCCAGAGGAGAACTCTCCGCCTCTGTCAGAGTGCAGACGCAGAACAGGAAAGTCCGAGCCGAAACTCTCTCGGAGCTGGAGACGAGCCGCGCGGATCCAGGCGATCAACACCTCAGTGACCTCACCCTTGTTGCGCAAGGGGAAGACTGAGGTGTAACGCGAGTAGTCGTCAACCACCAGCAGAAAGTAACGCTCGTGACCTTGTCCACGTACGCGGGCTGGGCCCCACACGTCCATGTGAAGCGTCTGCAGCGGAGCCTCTGTCGGAGGAAACTCGGAGGAGTGAGGAGCAGCGCGCTGCCGCCCCTTGACGCAGGGAACGCAGGTGGGGGCAGGCCCCGGAGGAAGGGAAGGGAGGGACCGGGGGAGACCAGAGACAAGGACACGGGAGGCCATGCCTCGAAGACGACGCAGGGAGGGGTGACCAAAGCGGTGGTGCTAGAGGAGAGTCAGGTGACACAGGAGAGGACACGAGCACGGGGCACACTCAGGACCAGACCTGGACGCCGCAGCAAACACCTGACCCGATGCGGCTACCTGAGCAGACTCAACGACCGGAGGAGACTCAGTAGTCAGTGTGTACAAGCTCGACCCCGGCGGACGGGTAAACATGGCCAAGTGACGGCCCATCCGAGCACAGGTACAGTGGGTCACTCGCTGACTCGCAGGAGTGAACTGGTGAACCCCTCCATCCTGGAGGTCAGCACCACTCACCAAGTTCGTAGAGAACGAGGGGAGGTAAAGACCCGACAGGGTGCCAGAAGGGGCCGCCGAACACGGTAGAACAGTGGAGAAGTGGGCAAGGACAGGACCCCGAGAGGGGTCTGCCAAGGAGACTACCACTGGCCGACTAAGCGGCGTAAGCGTGGTGCGGTCTCGAAAAAAGGAGCGGGAAGCACCCGAGTCAAGGGTGAAGGTGTGGGTGGCCGGAGCCGACGCGGTACCTGAGAGCGCAGACTCAACAGTCCACGTCCACGTCCACGTCCACGTCCACGACCACGTCCAAGTCCACGTCCACGTCCAGGTCCACGTCCACGTCCACGTCCACGTCCAAGTCCACGTCCACGTCCACGTCCACGTCCACGACCACGTCCACGTCCACGTCCACGTCCTCCACCTCCACCACCACGTCCTCCACGTCCATGTCCACGTCCACGTCCACGTCCAGGTCCAGGTCCACGTCCACGACCACGTCCACGTCCACGTCCACGTCCACATCCACGACCACGTCCACGTCCACGTCAACGACCACGTCCACGTCCACGTCGACGTCCACGACCACGTCCACGTCCACGTCCACGTCCACGTCCAGGTCCACGTCCACATCCACGTCCACGTCCACGACCACGTCCACGTCGACGTCCACGACCACATCCACGTCCGCGTCCACGTCCACGACCACGTTTACGTCCACGTCCACGTCCACGTCCTCCACGTCCACGTCCACGTCCACGTCCTCCACGTCCACGTCCACGTCTTCCATGTCCACGTCCACATCTACGTCCAAGTCCACGTCCACGTCCACGTCCACGACCACGTCCACGTCCACGTCCAGGACCACGTCCACGTCCACAACCACGTCCACGTCCACGTCCACGTCCACGTCCACGACCACGTCCACGTCCACGTCCACGTCCACGTCCACGACCACGTCCACGTCCACGTCCACGTCCACGTCCACGTCCACGACCACGTCCACGTCCACGTCCACGTCCACGTCCACGTCCACGTCCACGTCCAAGTCCACGTCCACGTCCAGGTCCACGTCCACGTCCACGTCCACGTCCACGTCCACGACCACGTCCACGTCCACGTCCACGTCCACGTCCACGTCCAAGTCCACGTTAAAGTCCACGTCCACGTCCACGTCCACGACCACGTCGAGGTCCACGTCCACGTCCACGTCCACGACCACGTCCACGTCCACGTCCACGTCCACGTCCACGTCCACGACCACGTCCACGTCCACGTCCACGTCCACGACCACGTCCACGTCCACGTCCACGTCCACGTCCACGTCCACCTCCACGTCCACGTCCACGTCCACGACCACGACCACGTCCACGTCCACGTCCACGTCCAAGTCCACGACCACGTCCACGTCCACGTCCACGACCACCTCCACGTCCACGTCCACGACCACCTCCACGTCCACGACCACGACCACGTCCACGTCCACGTCCACGTCCACGTCCACGTCCACGTCCACGTCCACGACCACGTCCACGTCCACATCCACGTCCATGACCACGTCCACGTCCACGTCCACGTCCACGTCCACGTCCACGTCCACGTCCACGTCCACGTCCACGACCACGTCCACGTCCACGTCCACGTCCACGTCCACGTCCACGTCCACGACCACGTCCACGACCACGTCCACGTCCACGACCACGTCCACGTCCACGTCCAAGTCCACGTCCACGTCCAGGTCCACGTCCACGTCCACGTCCACGTCCAAGTCCACGTCCACGTCCACGTCCACGTCCACGTCCACGACCACGTCCACGTCCACGTCCACGTCCACGACCACGTCCAAGTCCACATCCACATCCACGTCCAAGTCCACGTCCAAGTCCACGTCCACGTCCACGTCAACGTCCACGTCCACGTCCACGTCCACGACCACGTCCACGACCACGTCCACGTCCACGTCCACGTCCACGTCCACGTCCACGTCCACGACCACGTCCACGACCACGTCCACGACCATGTCCACGTCCACGTCCACGTCCACGACCACGTCCACGTCCACGTCCACGTCCACGACCACGACCACGTCCACGTCCACGTCCACGTCCACGTCCACGTCCACGACCACGTCCACGTCCACGTCCACGTCCACGTCCACGTCCAGGTCCACGTCGACGTCCACGTCCAGGTCCACGTCCATGTCCACGTCCACGTCCACGACCATGTCCACGTACACGTCCACGTCCACGTCCACGTACACGTCCACGTCCACCTCCACGTCAACGTCCAAGTCCACGTCCACGTCCACGTCCACGTCCAAGTCCACGTCCACGTCCTCGTCCTCCACGTCCATGTCCACGTCCTCGTCCTTCACGTCCACGTCCAAGTCCACGTCCACGTCCACGTCCAAGTCCACGTCAACGTCCTCGTCCTCCACGTCCACGTCCACGTCCTCGTCCTCCACGTCCACTTCCACGTCCACGTCCACGTCCACGTCCATGTCCACATCCTCCACGTCCACGTCCACGTCCGCATCCACGTCCACGTCCACGTCCACATCCATGTCCACGTCCACTTTGATGTCCACAACCACGTTTACGTCCACGACCACGTCCACGTCCACGTCCACGTCCACGTCCAAGTCCACGACCACATCCAGGTCCACGTCCACGACCACGTCCACGTCCACGTCCAAGTCCACGTCCACGTCCACGTCCACGTCCACGTCCATGACCACGTCCACGTCCACGTCCACGTCCAAGTCCATGTCCACGTCCACGACCACGTCCACGTCCACGTCTACGTCCAAGTCCATGTCCAAGTCCACATCCACGTCCACGTCCACGCCAGGACCACGTCCAGGTCCACGTCCACGTCCACGTCCACGTCCACGTCCACGACCACGTCCACGACCACGTCCACGTCCACGTCCACGTCCACGACCACGTCCACGTCCACGTCCACGACCACGTCCACGTCCACGACCACGTCCACGTCCACGTCCACGTCCACGTGCACGTGCACGTGCACGTCCACGACCACGTCCACGCCACGTTGACGTCGACGTCGACGTCCACGTCCACGTCCACGACCACGTCCAGGTCCACGTCGACGTCCACGTCCACGACCACGTCCACGACCACGTCCACGATCACATTCACGTCCACGTCCACGTCCACGACCACGACCAAGTCCACGTCCACGTCCACGTCCATGTCCACGACCACGACCACGTCGACGTCGACGTCCACGTCCACGTCCACGTCCACGTCCAAGTCCACGTCGACGTCGACGTCGACGTCCACGTCCACGTCCACGTCTACGTCCAAGTCCACGTCCAGGTCCACGTCCACGTCTACGTCCACGTCCACGACCACGTCCACGTCCATGTCTACGTCCACGTCCACGACCACGTCCACGTCCACGTCCACGACCACGTCCACGTCCACGACCACGTCCACGTCCACGTCCACGTCCACGACCACGTCCACGTCCACGACCACGTCCACGTCCACGTCCACGTCCACGTCCACATGCACGTCCACGACCACGTCCACGTCCACGTGCACGTCCACGTCCACGTCCACGTGCACGTCCACGTCCACGTGCACGTCCACGTCCACGTCCACGTGCACGTCCACGTCCACGACCACGTCCACGTCCACGTCCACGTCCACGTCCACGTCCACATCCACGACCACGTCCAGGTCCACGTCCACGTCCACGTCCACGTCCAAGTCCACGTCCATGTCCACGTCCACGTCCACGACCACGTCCACGTACACGTCCACGTCCACGTCCACGTCCACGTACACGTCCACGTCCACGACCACATCCACGTCCACGTTCACCTCCACGTCCACGTCCAAGTCCACGTCCACGTCCACGTCCAAGTCCACGTCCACGTCCTCATCCTCCACGTCCATGTCCACGTCCTCGTCCTCCACGTCCACGTCCACGTCCAAGTCCACGTCAACGTCCACGTCCAAGTCCACGTCAACGTCCTCGTCCTCCACGTCCACGTCCACATCCTCGTCCTCCACGTCCACTTCCACGTCTTCGTCCACGTCCACGTCCACGTCCACATCCTCCACGTCCACGTCCACGTCCACGTCCGCATCCAGGCCCACGTCCACGTCCACATCCACGTCCACGTCCACTTCGATGTCCACAACCACGTCCACGTCCACGACCACGTCCACGTCCATGTCCATGTCCACGTCCAAGTCCACGACCACATCCAGGTCCACATCCACGACCACGTCCACGTCCACGTCCAAGTCCACGTCCACGTCTACGTCCAGGTCCACGACCACGTCCACATCCACGTCCACGACCACGTCCACGTCCACGACCACGTCCACGTCCACGTCCACGTCCACGTCCACGTCCAAGTCCACGTCCAAGTCCACGTCCACGTCCAAGACCACGTCCACGTCCACGTCCACGTCCAAGTCCATGTCCAAGTCCACGTCCACGTGCACGTCCACGTCCACGACCACGTCCACGTCGACGTCCACGTCCACGACCAAGACCACGTCCACGACCACGTCCACGTCCACGTCCAAGTCCATGTCCAAGTCCACGTCCACGTCCACGTCCACGTTTACGTCCACGACCACGTCCAGGTCCACGTCTACGTCCACGTCCACGACCACGTCCACGACCACGTCCACGATCACGTCCACGTCCACGTCCACGTCCACGACCACGTCCACGTCCACGTCCACGTCCATGTCCACGACCACGACCACGTCGACGTCGACGTCGACGTCCACGTCCACGTCCACGTCCAAGTCCACGTCGACGTCGACGTCGACGTCCACGTCCACGACCACGACCACGTCCACGTCCAGGTCCATGACCACGTCCACGTCCAGGTCCACGTCCACGTCCATGTCCACGTCCACGACCACGTCCACGTCCACGTCCACGTACACGTCCACGTCCACGTCCACGTCCACGTCCACGTCCACGTACACGTCCACGTCCACGACCACGTCCACGTCCACGTCCTCCTCCACGTCCACGTCCAAGTCCACGTCCACGTCCATGTCCAAGTCCACGTCCACGTCCTCGTCCTCCACGTCCATGTCCACGTCCTCGTCCTACACGTCCACGTCCACGTCCAAGTCCACGTCCACGTCCACGTCCAAGTCCACGGCAACGTCCTCGTCCTCCACGTCCACGTCCACGTCCTCGTCCTCTCGTCCACTTCCACGTCTTCGTCCACGTCCACGTCCACGTCCACATCCTCCACGTCCACGTCCACGTCCACGTCCGCATCAAGGTCCACGTCCACGTCCACATCCACGTCCACGTCCACTTCGATGTCCACAACCACGTCCACGTCCACGACCACGTCCACGTCCACGTCCATGTCCACGTCCAAGTCCACGACCACATCCAGGTCCACATCCACGACCACGTCCAAGTCCACGTCCACGTCTACGTCCAGGTCCACAACCACGTCCACGTCCACGTCCACGACCACGTCCACGTCCACGTCCACGACCACGTCCACGTCCACGTCCACGTCCACGTCCACGTCCAAGTCCACGTCCAAGTCCACGTCCACGTCCAAGACCACGTCCACGTCCACGTCCACGTCCAAGTCCATGTCCAAGTCCACGTCCACGTCCACGTCCACGTCCACGACCACGTCCAGGTCCACGTCCACGTCCACGTCCACGTCTACGACCACGTCCACGACCATGTCCACGACCCCGTCCACGACCACGTCCATGTCCACGTCCACGATCACGTCCACGTCCACGTCCACGTCCACGTGCACGTCCACGTCCACGACCACGTCCACGTCGACGTCCACGTCCACGACCAAGACCACGTCCACGACCACGTCCACGTCCACATCCAAGTCCATGTCCAAGTCCACGTCCACGTCCACGTTTACGTCCACGACCACGTCCAGGTCCACGTCTACGTCCACGTCCACGACCACGTCCACGACCACGTCCACGATCACGTCCACGTCCACGTCCACGTCCACGACCACGTCCACGTCCACGTCCACGTCAATGTCCACGACCACGACCACGTCGACGTCGACGTCGACGTCCACGTCCACGTCCAAGTCCACGACCACATCCAGGTCCACGTCCACGACCACGTCCACGTCCACGTCCAAGTCCACGTCCACGTCCACGTTAACGTCCAGGTCCACGTCCACGTCTACGTCCACGACCACGTCCATGTCCACGTATACGACCACGTCCACGTCCACGTCCACGTCCACGTCCAAGTTCACGTCGACGTCGATGTCCACGTCCACGTCCACGTCCACGTCCAAGTCCACGTCCACGTCCAGGTCCCTGTCCACGACCACGTCCACGTCCACGTCCACGACCACGTCCACGTCGAGGTCAACGTCCACGTCCACGTCCACGACCACGTCCACGTCCACGTCCACGACCACGTCCACGTCCACGTCCACGTCCACGTCCACGTCCACGTCCACGACCATGTCCACGTCCACGTCCACGTCCACTTCTACGACCACGTCCACGTCCACGTCCACGTCCACGACCACGTCCACGTCCAGGTCCACGTCCACGACCACGTCCACGTCCACGTCCATGTCCACGTCCACGTCCACGACCACGTCCACGTACACGTCCACGTCCACGTCCACAACCACGTCCACGTCCACCTCCACGTCCACGACCACGTCCACGTCCACGACCACGTCCACGTCCACGTCCACGTCCACGTCCTCCACGTCCACGTCCACGTCCTCCACGTCCACGTCCACGTCCACAACTACGTCCAAGTCCACGTCCACGTCCACGTCCACGACCACGTCCACGTCCACATCCACGACCACGTCCACGTCCACGACCACGTCCACGTCCACGTCCACGTCCACGATCACGTCCACGTCCACGTCCACGTCCACGACCACGTCCACGTCCACGTCCACGTCCACGTCCACGTCCAGGTCCAAGTCCACGTCCACGTCCAGGTCCACGTCCACGTCCACATCCACGTCCACGTCCACGTCCAAGTCCAAGTCCACGTCCACGTCCACGTCCACGTCCACGACCACGTCCACGTCCACGTCCACGTCCACGTCCTCGACCACGTCCACGTCCACGTCCACGTCCAAGTCCACGTCCAAGTCCACGTCCACGTCCACGTCCACGTCCACGACCACGTCGAGGTCCACGTCCACGTCCACGTCCACGTCCACGACCACGTCCACGACCACGTCCACGTCCACGTCCACGTCCACGACCACGTCCACGTCCACGTCCACGTCCACGTCCACGTCCACGTCCACGTTCACGTCCACGTCCACGACCATGTCCACGTCCACGTCCACGTCCACGTCTACGTCCACGACCACGTCCACGTCCACGTCCACGACCACGTCCACGTCCACGTCCACGACCACGTCCACGTCCAGGTCCACGTCCACGTCCACGTCCAGGTCCACGTCCACGTCGACGTCCACGTCCACGTCCACGTCCAAGTCCACGTCCAAGTCCACGTCCACGTCCACGTCCACGTCCACATCCACGTCCACGACCACGTCCACGTCCACATCCACGTCCACGACCACGTCCACGACCACGTCCACGACCACGTCCACGTCCACGTCCACGACCACGTCCACGTCCACGTCCACGTCCACGACCACGTCCACGTCCACGTCCACGTCCACGACCACGTGCACGTGCACGTCCACGTCCACGTCCACGTCCACGTCCACGTCCACGTCCAGGTCCACGTCCACGTCCACGTCCACGTCCACGACCACGTCCACGTCCACGACCACGTCCACGTACACGTCCACGTCCACGTCCACGTACACGTCCACGTCCACGACCACGTCCACGTCCATGTCCACGTCCACGTCCACGTCCAAGTCCACGTCCACGTCCACGTCCAAGTCCACGTCCACGTCCTCGTCCTCCTCGTCCACGTCCACGTCCTCGTCCTCCACGTCCACGTCCACGTCCAAGACCACGTCCACGTCCACGACCACGTCCACGTCCACGTCCACGTCCAGGTCCACGTCCACGTCCACGTCCAGGTCCACGTCCATGTCCACGTCCATGTCTACGACCACGTCCACGTACACGTCCACGTCCACGTCCACGTCCACGTACACGTCCACGTCCACAACCACGACCACGTCCACGTCCACGTCCACGTCCAAGTCCACGTCCACGTCCACGTCCACGTCCAAGTCCACGTCCACATCCACGTCCTCGTCCTCCACGTCCACGTCCACGTCCTCGTCCTCCACGTCCACGTCCACGTCCACGTCCACGTGCACGTCCTCCACGTCCACGTCCACGTCCACATCCGCATCCACGTCCACGTCCACGTCCACGTTCACGTCCACGTCCACGTCCACTTCAACTTCCACGACCACGTCCACGTCCATGACCACGTCCATGCCACGTCCACGTCCACGTCCAAGTCCACGACCACATCCACGTCCACGTCCACGTCCACGTCCACGTCCACGACCACGTCCACTTCCACGTCCACGTCCACGTCCACGACCACGTCCACGACCACGTCCACGACCACGTCCACATCCACGTCCACGTCCACGTCCACGTGCACGTGCACGTCCACGTCCACGTCCACGTGCACGTCCACGTCCACGACCACGTCCACGTCCACGTCCACGACCACGTCCACGACCACGTCTACGTCCACGTCCAAGTCCACGTCCACGTCCACGTCCACGACCACGTCCACTTCCACGTCCACGTCCACGTCCACGACCACGTCCACGTCCACGTCCACGTCCACGACCACGTCTACGACCACGTCCACGTCCACGTCCACGACCACGTCCACGTCCACGTCCACGTCAGCGTCCACGTCCACGTCCACGTCCACGACCATGTCCACGTCCACGTCCACGTCAACGTCCACGTCCACGTCCACGTCGACGTCCACGTCCACGTCCACGTCCACGTCCACGTCCAAGTCCACGTCCACGTCCACGTCCAGGTCCACGTCCACGTCCACGACCACGTCTACGTCCAAGTCCACGTCCACATCCACGTCCACGTCCACGACCACGTCCACGTCCACGTCCACGTCCACGACCACGTCCAGGTCCACGTCCACGTCCACGTCCACGACCACGTCCACGTCCAGGTCCACGTCCACGTCCACCTCCACCTCCACGTCTACGTCCACGTCCACGTCCACGACCACGTCCACGTCCACGTCCACGTCCACGTCCACGTCCACGTCCACGACCACGTCCACGTCCACGTCCACGTCCACGACCACGTCCAGGTCCACGTCCACGTCCACGTCCACGTCCACGTCCCGGTCCACGTCCACGTCCACCTCCACGTCCACGTCCAAGTCCACGTCGACGTCCACGTCCACGTCCACGTCCACGTCCACGACCACGTCCACGACCACGTCGAGGTCCACGTCCATGTCCACGTCCACGACCACGTCCATGTCCACGTCCACGTCCACGTCCACGACCACGTCCACGACCACGTCGAGGTCCACGTCCATGTCCACGTCCACGACCACGTCCAAACAAAAACCTGACAAACGACCAAATTACGAAAATAATAACGGAACTGCTTAATCAGACAAAAAAATTACGTCCACGTCCACGTCCACGACCACGTCCACGACCACGTCCACGTCCACGTCCACGTCCACGACCACGTCCACGACCACGTCCACGTCCACGTCCATGTCCACAACCACGTCCACGTTCACGTCCATGTCCACGACCACGTCCACCACCACGTCCACGTCCACGTCCACGTCTACGTCCACCACCACGTCCACCACCACGTCCACGTCCACGTCCACGTCCACGACCACGTCCACGTCCACGTCCACGTCCACGACCACGTCCACGTCCACGTCCACGTCCACGACCACGTCCACGTCCACGTCCACGACCACGACCACGTCCACGTCCACGTCCACGTCCATGACCACGTCCACGTCCACGTCCACGACCACGTCCACGTCCACGTCCACTTCCACGTCCACGACCACGTCCACGTCCAGGTCCACGTCCATGTCCATGTCCACATCCACGTCCACGTCCAAGTCCACATCCACGTCCATGACCACGTACACGTCCACGTCCACGTAGACGTAAACGTTCATGTCCACGTCCACGTCCACGTCCACGTACACGTCCACGTCCACGTACACGTCCACGTGCACGTCCACGTCCACGACCACGTCCACGTCCACGTCCACGTCCATGTCCAAGTCCACGTCCACGTCCACGTCCACGTCCTCGTCCTCCACGTCCACGTCCACGTCCTCGTCCTCCACGTCCACGTCCACGTCCACGTCCCCGTCCACGACCACGTCCACGTCCACGTCCACGTCCAGGTCCACGTCCAGGTCCACGTCCACGTCCACGACCACGTCCACGTCCACGTCCACCTCCACGTCCACGACCACGTCCACGTCCACGACCACGTCCACGTCCACGCCAAGTCCACGTCCACATCCTCGTCCTCCACGTCCACGTCCACATCCTCGTCCTCCACGTCCACGTCCACGTCCATGTCCACGTCCACGTCGACGTCCACATCCTCCACGTCAAGGTCCACGTCCACGTCCGCATCCACGTCCACGTCCACGTCCACGTCCATGTCCACTTCGACGTCCACGACCACGTCCACGTCCACGACCACGTCCACGTCCACGTCCACGTCCACATCCACGTCCAAGTCCACGACCACATCCAGGTCCACGTCCACGACCACGTCCACGTCCACGTCCACGTCCAAGTCCACGTCCACGTTCAGGTCCACGTCCACGTCCACGTCCACGTCCACGTCCACGACCACGTCCACGTCCACGTCCACGTTCACGTCCGCATCCACGTCCACTTCCATGACCACGTCCATGCCACGTCCACGTCCACGTCCAAGTCCACGACCACATCCACGTCCACGTCCACGTCCACGTCCACGTCCACGACCACGTCCACTTCCACGTCCACGTCCACGTCCACAACCACGTCCACGACCACGTCCACGACCACGTCCACATCCACGTCCACGTCCACGTCCACGTGCCCGTGCACGTGCACGTGCACGTCCACGTCCACGTCCACGTGCACGTCCACGTCCACGACCACGTCCACGTCCACGTCCACGACCACGTCCACGACCACGTCCACGTCCACGTCCAAGTCCACGTCCACGTCCACGTCCACGACCACGTCCACATCCACGTCCACGTCCACGTCCACGACCACGTCCACGTCCACGTCCACGTCCACGACCACGTCTACGACCACGTCCACGTCCACGTCCACGACCACGTCCACGTCCACGTCAACGTCCACGTCCACGTCCACGTCCACGACCATGTCCACGTCCACGTCCACGTCAACGTCCACGTCCACGTCCACGTCGACGTCCACGTCCACGTCCACGTCCACGTCCAAGTCCACGTCCACGTCCAGGTCCACGTCCACGTCTACGTCCACGACCACGTCTACGTCCAGGTCCACGTCCACGTCCACGTCCACGTCCACGTCCACGACCACGTCCACGTCCACGTCCACGACCACGTCCACGTCCACGTCCACGTCCACGACCACGTCCAGGTCCACGTCCACGTCCACGTCCACGACCACGTCCACGTCCAGGTCCACGTCCACGTCCACCTCCACGTCCACGTCCACGTGCACGTCCACGTCCACGTCCACGACCACGTCCACGTCCACGTCCACGTCCACGTCCACGTCCACGTCCACGTCCACGACCACGTCCACGTCCACGTCCACGACCACGTCCAGGTCCACGTCCACGTCCACGTCCACGTCCACGACCACGTCCACGTCCAGGTCCACGTCCACGTCCACCTCCACGTCCACGTCCAAGTCCACGTCGACGTCCACGTCCACGTCCACGTCCACGTCCACGTCCACGACCACGTCCACGACCACGTCGAGGTCCACGTCCATGTCCATGTCCACGACCACGTCCACGACCACGTCCAAACAAAAACCTGACAAACGACCAAATTACGAAAATAATAACGGAACTGCTTAATCAGACAAAAAAATTACGTCCACGTCCACGTCCACGACCACGTCCACGACCACGTCCACGTCCACGTCCACGTCCACGACCACGACCACGTCCACGTCCACGTCCACGTCCATGTCCACAACCACGTCCACGTTCACGTCCACGTCCACGACCACGTTCACCACCACGTCCACGTCCACGTCCACGTCTACGTCCACCACCACGTCCACCACCACGTCCACGTCCACGTCCACGTCCACGACCACGTCCACGTCCACGTCCACGACCACGTCCACGTCCACGTCCACGTCCACGACCACGTCCACGTCCACGTCCACGACCACGACCACGTCCACGTCCACGTCCACGTCCATGACCACGTCCACGTCCACGTCCACGACCACGTCCACGTCCACGTCCACGTCCAGTTCTACGTCCACGACCACGTCCATGTCCAGGTCCACGTCCATGTCCACGTCCACATCCACGTCCACGTCCATGTCCACGTCCACGTCCACGACCACGTACACGTCCACGTCCACGTAGACGTAAACGTTCATGTCCACGTCCACGTCCACGTACACGTCCACGTCCACGTACACGTCCACGTCCACGTCCACGTCCACGACCACGTCCACGTCCTTTCACGTCCATGTCCAAGTCCACGTCCACGTCTTCGTCCTCCACGTCCACGTCCTCGTCCTCCACGTCCACGTCCACGTCCACGTCCCCGTCCACGACCACGTCCACGTCCACGTCCACGTCCACGTCCAGGTCCACGTCCAGGTCCACGTCCACGTCCACGACCACGTCCACGTACACGTCCACGTCCTCGTCCACGTACACGTCCACGTCCACGTCCATGACCACGTCCACGTCCACGCCAAGTCCACGTCCACATCCTCGTCCTCCACGTCCACGTCCACATCCTCGTCCTCCACGTCCACGTCCACGTCCACGTCCATGTCCACGTCCACATCGACGTCCACATCCTCCACGTCAAGGTCCACGTCCACGTCCGCATCCACGTCCACGTCCACGTCCACGTCCATGTCCACTTCGACGTCCACGACCACGTCCACGTCCACGACCACGTCCACGTCCACGTCCACGACCACGTCCACGTCCAGGTCCACGTCCACGACCACGTCCACGTCCACGTCCACGTCCAAGTCCACGTCAACGTCCACGTCCAGGTCCAGGTCCACGTCCACGTCCACGTCCACGTCCACGTCCACGACCACGTCCACGTCCACGTCCAAGTCCATGTCCAAGTCCACGTCCACGTCCACGTCCACGTCCACGTCCACGTCCACGTCCACGTCCAAGTCCACGTCCAAGTCCACGTCCACGTCCACGTCCACGTCCACGTCCACGTCCTCCACGTCCACGTCCACGTCCACGTCCACGTCCGCATCCACGTCCACGTCCACGTCCACGTCCGCTTCGACGTCTACGACCACGTCCACGTCCATGACCACGTCCACGTCCACGTCCACGTCCACGTCCACGACCACGTCCACTTCCACGTCCACGTCCACGTCCACGTCCACGTCCACGTCCACGTCCACCTCCACGTCCACGACCACGTCCACGTCCACGTCCACGTCCACGACCACGTCCACGTCCACGTCCACGTCCAGGACCACGTCCACGTCCACGTCCACGTCCACGACCACGTCCACGTCCACGTCCACGTCCACGTCCAGGTCCACGTCCATGTCCACGTCCACGTCCACGTCCACGTCCACGTCCACGTCCACGTCTACGTCCACTTCCACGTCCACGTCCACGTCCACGTCCACGTCCACGACCACGTCCACTTCCACGTCCACGTCCACGTCCACGTCCACGTCCAAGTCCACGTCCACGTCCACCTCCACGTCCACGTCCACCTCCACGTCCACTTCCACGTCCACGTCCACGTCCACGTCCACGACCACGTCTACGACCACGTCCACGTCCACGTCCACGACCACGTCCACGTCCACGTCAACGTCCACGTCCACGTCCACGTCCACGACCATGTCCACGTCCACGTCCACGTCAACGTCCACGTCCACGTCCACGTCGACGTCCACGTCCACGACCACGTCCACGTCCACGTCCACGTCCACGACCACGTCCACGTCCACGTCCACGTCCATGACCACGTCCACGTCCACGTCCACGTCCACGACCACGTCCACGTCCACGTCCACGTCCACGTCCAGGTCCACGTCCACGTCCACGTCCACGTCCACGTCCACGTCCACGTCCACGTCCACGTCCACGTCCACGTCCATGACCACGTCCACGTCCACGTCCACGTCCACGACCACGTCCACGTCCACGTTTACGTCCACGTCCAGGTCCACGTCCATGTCCACGTCCACGTCCACGTCCACGTCCACGTCCACGTCCACGTCCACGTCCACTTCCACGTCCACGTCCACGTCCACGTCCACGTCCACGTCCACGTCCACGTCCACGACCACGTCCACGTCCACGTCCACGTCCACGTCCACGTCCACGTCCAAGTCCATGTCCAAGTCCACGTCCACGTCCACGTCCACGTCCACGTCCACGTCCACGTCCACGTCCAAGTCCACGTCCAAGTCCACGTCCACGTCCACGTCCACGTCCACGTCCACGTCCTCCACGTCCACGTCCACGTCCACGTCCACGTCCGCATCCACGTCCACGTCCACGTCCACGTCCGCTTCGACGTCTACGACCACGTCCACGTCCATGACCACGTCCACGTCCACGTCCACGTCCACGTCCACGACCACGTCCACTTCCACGTCCACGTCCACGTCCACGTCCACGTCCACGTCCACGTCCACCTCCACGTCCACGACCACGTCCACGTCCACGTCCACGTCCACGACCACGTCCACGTCCACGTCCACGTCCAGGACCACGTCCACGTCCACGTCCACGTCCACGACCACGTCCACGTCCACGTCCACGTCCACGTCCAGGTCCACGTCCATGTCCACGTCCACGTCCACGTCCACGTCCACGTCCACGTCCACGTCCACGTCTACGTCCACTTCCACGTCCACGTCCACGTCCACGTCCACGTCCACGACCACGTCCACTTCCACGTCCACGTCCACGTCCACGTCCACGTCCAAGTCCACGTCCACGTCCACCTCCACGTCCACGACCACGTCCACGTCCACGTCCACGTCCACGACCACGTCCACGTCCACGTCCACGTCCATGACCACGTCCACGTCCACGTCCACGTCCACGACCACGTCCACGTCCACGTCCACGTCCACGTCCAGGTCCACGTCCACGTCCACGTCCACGTCCACGTCCACGTCCACGTCCACGTCCACGTCCACGTCCACGTCCATGACCACGTCCACGTCCACGTCCACGTCCACGACCACGTCCACGTCCACGTTTACGTCCACGTCCAGGTCCACGTCCATGTCCACGTCCACGTCCACGTCCACGTCCACGTCCACGTCCACGTCCACGTCCACTTCCACGTCCACGTCCACGTCCACGTCCACGTCCACGTCCACGTCCACGACCACGTCCACTTCCACGTCCACGTCCACGTCCACGTCCACGTCCAAGTCCACGTCCACGTCCACCTCCACGTCCACGACCACGTCCACGTCCACGTCCACGTCCACGACCACGTCCACGTCCACGTCCACGTCCATGACCACGTCCACGTCCACGTCCACGTCCACGACCACGTCCACGTCCACGTCCACGTCCAGGTCCACGTCCATGTCCACGTCCACGTCCACGACCACGTCCACGTACATGTCCACGTCCACGTCCACGTCCACGACCACGTCCACGTCCACGTCCACGTCCACGTCCAAGTCCACGTCCACGTCCACGTCCAAGTCCACGTCCACGTCCTCGTCCTCCACGTCCACGTCCACGTCTTCGTCCTCCACGTACACGTCCACGTCCACGACCACGTCCACGTCCACGTCCACGTCCACGTCCATGTCCACGTCCACGTCCACGTCCACGTCCACGTCTACGACCACGTCCACGTCCACGTCCACGTCCACGTCCACGTCCACGTACACGTCCACGTCCACATCCACGACCACGTCCACGTCCACATCCACGTCCAAGTCCACGTCCACGTCCACGTCCACGTCCAAGTCCACGTCCACGTCCTCGTCCTCCACGTCCACGTCCACGTCCACGTCCACGTCCACGTCCACGTCCACGTCCACGTCCACGTCCACGTCCACGTCCACGTCCTCCACGTCCACGTCCACGTCCACGTCCACGTCCACGTCCTCGTCCTCCACGTCCACGTCCACGTCCACGTCCACGTCCTCCACGTCCACGTCCACGTCCACGTCCACGTCCCACGTCCACGTCCACGTCCACGTCCACGTCCACGTCCACGACCACGTCCAAGTCCACGTCCACGTCCACGTCCACGACCACGTCCACTTCCACGTCCACGTCCACGTCCACGACCACGTCCACGACCACGTCCACTTCCAAGTCCACGACCACATCCACGTCCACGTCCAAGTCCACGTCCACGTCCACGTCCACGTCCACGTCCACGACCACGTCCACTTCCACGTCCACGTCCACGTCCACGTCCACGTCCACGTCCACGTCCACGTCCACGTCCACGTCCACGACCACGACCACGTCCACGTCCACGTCCACGTCCATGTCCACAACCACGTCCACGTTCACGTCCACGTCCACGACCACGTTCACCACCACGTCCACGTCCACGTCCACGTCTACGTCCACCACCACGTCTACCACCACGTCCACGTCCACGTCCACGTCCACGACCACGTCCACGTCCACGTCCACGACCACGTCCACGTCCACGTCCACGTCCACGACCACGTCCACGTCCACGTGCACGACCACGACCACGTCCACGTCCACGTCCACGTCCATGACCACGTCCACGTCCACGTCCACGACCACGTCCACGTCCACGTCCACGTCCAGTTCTACGTCCACGACCACGTCCATGTCCAGGTCCACGTCCATGTCCACGTCCACATCCACGTCCACGTCCATGTCCACGTCCACGTCCACGACCACGTACACGTCCACGTCCACGTAGACGTAAACGTTCATGTCCACGTCCACGTCCACGTACACGTCCACGTCCACGTACACGTCCACGTCCACGTCCACGTCCACGACCACGTCCACGTCCTTTCACGTCCATGTCCAAGTCCACGTCCACATCCTCGTCCTCCACGTCCACGTCCTCGTCCTCCACGTCCACGTCCACGTCCACGTCCCCGTCCACGACCACGTCCACGTCCACGTCCACGTCCACGTCCAGGTCCACGTCCAGGTCCACGTCCACGTCCACGACCACGTCCACGTACACGTCCACGTCCTCGTCCACGTACACGTCCACGTCCACGTCCATGACCACGTCCACGTCCACGCCAAGTCCACGTCCACATCCTCGTCCTCCACGTCCACGTCCACATCCTCGTCCTCCACGTCCACGTCCACGTCCACGTCCATGTCCACGTCCACATCGACGTCCACATCCTCCACGTCAAGGTCCACGTCCACGTCCGCATCCACGTCCACGTCCACGTCCACGTCCATGTCCACTTCGACGTCCACGACCACGTCCACGTCCACGACCACGTCCACGTCCACGTCCACGACCACGTCCACGTCCAGGTCCACGTCCACGACCACGTCCACGTCCACGTCCACGTCCAAGTCCACGTCAACGTCCACGTCCAGGTCCAGGTCCACGTCCACGTCCACGTCCACGTCCACGTCCACGACCACGTCCACGTCCACGTCCACGTCCACGTCCAAGTCCATGTCCAAGTCCACGTCCACGTCCACGTCCACGTCCACGTCCACGTCCACGTCCACGTCCAAGTCCACGTCCAAGTCCACGTCCACGTCCACGTCCACGTCCACGTCCACGTCCACGTCCTCCACGTCCACGTCCACGTCCACGTCCACGTCCGCATCCACGTCCACGTCCACGTCCGCATCCACGTCCACGTCCACGTCCACGTCCACGTCCTCCACGTCCACGTCCATGTCCAAGTCCACGTCCGCATCCACGTCCACGTCCACGTCCACGTCCACGTCCACGTCCAAGTCCACGTCCAAGTCCACGTCCACGTCCACGTCCACGTCCACGTCCACGTCCACGTCCTCCACGTCCACGTCCACGACCACGTCCACGTCCATGACCACGTCCACGTCCACGTCCACGTCCACGTCCACGACCACGTCCACTTCCACGTCCACGTCCACGTCCACGTCCACGTCCACGTCCACGTCCACCTCCACGTCCACGACCACGTCCACGTCCACGTCCACGTCCACGACCACGTCCACGTCCACGTCCACGTCCAGGACCACGTCCACGTCCACGTCCACGTCCACGACCACGTCCACGTCCACGTCCACGTCCACGTCCAGGTCCACGTCCATGTCCACGTCCACGTCCACGTCCACGTCCACGTCCACGTCCACGTCCACGTCCACGTCTACGTCCACTTCCACGTCCACGTCCACGTCCACGTCCACGTCCACGACCACGTCCACTTCCACGTCCACGTCCACGTCCACGTCCACGTCCAAGTCCACGTCCACGTCCACCTCCACGTCCACGACCACGTCCACGTCCACGTCCACGTCCACGACCACGTCCACGTCCACGTCCACGTCCATGACCACGTCCACGTCCACGTCCACGTCCACGACCACGTCCACGTCCACGTCCAGGTCCACGTCCACGTCCACGTCCACGTCCACGTCCACGTCCACGTCCACGTCCACGTCCACGTCCATGACCACGTCCACGTCCACGTCCACGTCCACGACCACGTCCACGTCCACGTTTACGTCCACGTCCAGGTCCACGTCCATGTCCACGTCCACGTCCACGTCCACGTCCACGTCCACGTCCACGTCCACGTCCACTTCCACGTCCACGTCCACGTCCACGTCCACGTCCACGTCCACGTCCACGTCCACGACCACGTCCACTTCCACGTCCACGTCCACGTCCACGTCCACGTCCAAGTCCACGTCCACGTCCACCTCCACGTCCACGACCACGTCCACGTCCACGTCCACGTCCACGACCACGTCCACGTCCACGTCCATGACCACGTCCACGTCCACGTCCACGTCCACGACCACGTCCACGTCCACGTCCACGTCCAGGTCCACGTCCATGTCCACGTCCACGTCCACGACCACGTCCACGTACATGTCCACGTCCACGTCCACGTCCACGACCACGTCCACGTCCACGTCCACGTCCACGTCCAAGTCCACGTCCACGTCCACGTCCAAGTCCACGTCCACGTCCTCGTCCTCCACGTCCACGTCCACGTCTTCGTCCTCCACGTACACGTCCACGTCCACGACCACGTCCACGTCCACGTCCACGTCCATGTCCACGTCCACGTCCACGTCCACGTCCACGTCTACGACCACGTCCACGTCCACGTCCACGTCCACGTCCACGTCCACGTCCACGTACACGTCCACGTCCACATCCACGACCACGTCCACGTCCACATCCACGTCCAAGTCCACGTCCACGTCCACGTCCACGTCCAAGTCCACGTCCACGTCCTCGTCCTCCACGTCCACGTCCACGTCCTCGTCCTCCACGTCCACGTCCACGTCCACGTCCACGTCCTCCACGTCCACGTCCACGTCCACGTCCACGTCCCACGTCCACGTCCACGTCCACGTCCACGTCCACGTCCACGTCCACGACCACGTCCACGTCCACGTCCACGTCCACGTCCACGACCACGTCCACTTCCACGTCCACGTCCACGTCCACGACCACGTCCACGACCACGTCCACTTCCAAGTCCACGACCACATCCACGTCCACGTCCAAGTCCACGTCCACGTCCACGTCCACGTCCACGACCACGTCCACTTCCACGTCCACGTCCACGTCCACGTCCACGTCCACGTCCACGTCCACGTCCACGTCCACGTCCACGTCCAAGTCCACGTCCATGTCCACGTCCATGTCCACGTCCACGTCCACGTCCAAGTCCACGTCCACGTCCACGACCACGTCCACGTCCACGTCCACGTCCAGGTCCACGTCCAGGTCCACGTCCACGTCCACGTCCACGACCATGTTCACGTCCACGACCACGTCCACGTCCTCGTCCACGTCCACGTCCACGACCACGTCCACGTCCACGTCCACGTCCACGTCCAGGTCCAGGTCCAGGTCCAGGTCCACGTCCACGTCCACGTCCACGTCCACGTCCACGTCCACGACCATGTCCACGTCCACGACCACGTCCACGTCCACGTCCACGTCCACGTCCTCCACGTCCACGTCCACGTCCTCCACGTCCACGTCCACGTCCTCCACGTCCACCTCCACGTCCACGTCTACGTCCAAGTCCACGTCCATGTCCATGTCCACGACCACGTCCACGTCCACGTCCACGACCACGTCCACGTCCACGACCACGTCCACGTCCACCTCCACGTCCACGACCACGTCCACGTCCACGTCCACGTCCACCTCCACGACCACGTCCACGTCCACGTCCACGTCCACGTCCACGACCACGTCCACGTCCAGGTCGACGTCCATGTCCACGTCCACGTCCACGTCCACGTCCACGTCCACGTCTACGACCACGTCCACGTCCACGACCACGTCCACGTCCACGACCACGTCCACGTCCACGTCGACGTCCAAGTCCACGTCCTCCACGTCCACGTCCACGTCCTCCACGTCCACCTCCACGTCCACGTCTACGTCCAAGTCCACGTCCACGGCCACGTCCACGTCCACGTCCTCCACGTCCACGTCCACGTCCTCCACGTCCACCTCTACGTCCACGTCTACGTCCAAGTCCACGTCCACGTCCACGTCCACGACCACGTCCACGTCCACGTCCACGACCACGTCCACGTCCACGACCACGTCCACGTCCACGTCCACGTCCACGACCACGTCCACGACCATGTCGACGTCCACGTCCACGACCACGTCCACGTCCACGTCCACGTCCAAGTCCACGACCACGTCCACGACCACGTCCACGTCAACGTCCACGTCCACGTCCACGTCCACGTCCACGTCCACGTCCACGTCCACGACCACGTCCACGACCACGTCCACAACCACGTCCACGTCCAAGTCCACGTCCACGTCCACCTCCACGTCCACGACCACGACCACGTCCACGTCCACGCCCACGTCCTCGTCCTCCACGTCCACGTCCTCGTTCTCCACGTCCACGTCCACGTCCACGTCCTCCACGTCCACGTTCACGTCCACGTCCACGTCCACGTCCACGTCCCACGTCCACGTCCACGTCCACGACCACGTCCACGACCACGTCCACTTCCACGTCCACGTCCACGTCCACGACCACGTCCACGACCACGTCCACTTCCAAGTCCACGACCACATCCACGTCCACGTCCAAGTCCACGTCCACGTCCACGTCCACGTCCACGACCACGTCCACGACCACGTCCACGTCCACGTCCACGTCCACGTCCACGTCCACGTCCACGTCGACGTTCACGTCCACATCCACGACCACGTCCACGTCCACGTCCACGTCAACGTCCACGTCAACGTCCACGTCCATGTCCACGTCCACGTCCAAGTCCACGTCCACGTCCACGACCACGTCCACGTCCACGTCCACGTCCAGGTCCACGTCCAAGTCCACGTCCACGTCCACGTCCACGACCACGTCCACGTCCACGACCACGTCCACGTCCACGTCCACGTCCACGACCACGTCCACGTCCACGTCCACGTCCACGTCCACGTCCAGGTCCACGTCCATGTCCACGTCCACGTCCACGTCCACGACCACGTCCACGTCCACGTCCACGTCCACGACCACGTCCACGTCCACGACCACGTCCACGTCCACGTCCACGTCCTCCACGTCCACGTCCACGTCCTCCACGTCCACCTCCACGTCCACGTCTACGTCCAAGTCCAAGTCCACGTCCACGTCCACGTCCACGACCACGTCCACGTCCACGTCCACGACCACGTCCACGTCCACGACCACGTCCACGTCCACGTCCACGTCCACGACCACGTCCACGTCCACGTCCACGTCCACGTCCACGACCACGTCCACGTCTAAGTCCACGTCCACGACCACGTCCACGTCTGTCAGAACATATAGCTTACTTGTTTCTGTAGGCTATAGTGGGGTATCCCATAGGGGGTACAACCCAAATTAGGGTTTCCTATTTGTACTCACTTCGTTCATAGTCATTCCATTCTCGTTCATATCTTCTCATGGAATCAGAGCAGGTCCCTTCCTAGGGACTGTTCCTAGGGCCCACCGAAGTGCGCCCCGAGGCGCGCGTTTTTTTTTTTTTTTAGCGACCCTCCGTGTCGCCCTTACCGCCGTGCTCCCGCTTAGGCCCCTCGTCGGCCCCGCTTAGGCCCCTCGTCGGCCCCGCTTAGGCCCCTAGTCGGCCCCGCTTAGGCCTCGTCGGCCCCACTTAGGCCCTGTCGGCCCCGCTTAGGCCTCGTCGGCCCCGCTTAGGCCCCGCTACGGCCCCGCGTCGGCCCCGCTTAGGCCCCGTCGGCCCGCCTAGGCCCCGCTACGGCCCCCCGTTGGCCCCGCCTAGACCCCGTCGGCCCGCCGTAGGCCCCGCTCCAGCCCGCCGTCGGCCACGCTATAGCCCGCCGTCGGCCCCGCTACAGCCCGCCGTCGGCCCCCACTACAGCCCGCTGCCGGCCCCGCTACAGCCCGCTGTCGGCCCCGCCCCAGCCCGCCGCCGGTCCCGCTACAGCCCGCCGTCGGCCCCACTACAGCCCGCCGCCGGCCCCGCTACAGCCCGCTGTCGGCCCCGCTACAGCCCGCCGCCGGCCCCGCTACAGCCCCGCTACGGCCCACCGTCGGCCCCGCCACCCGTGCTGCAGCCCGCCGCGCCACCGTGCAGCCGCCCGTGCAGCCGCCCACTGTGCCGCCCGTGAGCAGCCCCAGCCGCCCGTGAGCCGCCCGTGCAGCCGCCCGCGCCGCCCGTGAGCCCCTGCGTCACCAGAGCCGCGCGAGCCGCCCAAGCCGCGCGAGCCGCCCGAGTCGCCCGAGCCGCCCGAGCCGCCAGTGGAGCCGCACTCCTGCTCCTGTGGGGCCACTGCTGCTCCTGGGCTGTGTTACAGTGCCGCTGACCTACCCGACTTTTCCTACCCGGTGAGACTGTCAGCTGCTGTCATGGCCACCCCCACTGTCCTAGCTTTTGACGCTGAGGGTAGAGCCATTGACTTTGCAGTCTGGATTGAAGACCTGCAGCTGTACTTACTGTGTGATGCGATGGATGAGGTCTCTCTCTTTGACTTTGTCTCTAGAGCTGTCCCTGCCCCTCCTGCTGATGCTGACCCCGCCGTTCGCTCCAAGTGGGCGACCCGCGATGCTGCTGCACGTCTTGCTGTGCGTCGCCACCTCCCTTCCTCCGAGCGTGCCCACTTTAGTCAGTGCAAGACCGCTCAGGCCTTGTACGACGCTGTAGTTGCACGCTACTCCTCCCCTTCCTCCGCTACGCTTAGCCGCCTCATGCTACCGTTTCTCTTCCCTGACCTCGCTGCCTTTCCCACTGTTGCTGACCTCGTTACCCACCTCCGCGCTAGTGACGCTCGCTACCGCGCTGCCCTTCCTGCTGAGTTCCGCGCCGCAAACCCTCCTCCCATGTACATCACTCTCTACTTTCTCGTCACTCGTCTCCCTGAGTCCCTTCGTGTAGTTAGGGACCAGTTTCTCTCTGTCTGTCCCACCACCCTCACTGTCGACCTCCTTGAGGAGTCCCTGCTAGCGGCTGAGAAGAGCATCGTCGCTGTAGGGGCCTCTCGGGGTGACCCTCGCACCCCCATTTTTGAGGGGTGTTCTCCTTCCCCCCTGCTGCCCTCTGTCGCCTCTGCCGCTGCGGCCGACCTCGCTGGTTTTGAGTCGGTCGGTGCGGCGTCTGCCCCCAGCGGTAGACGCCGCAATGGCAAGGGCAAAGGGGGCAAGGGAGCGGGTGGAGCTAGAGGGGGCGGTGGCGGGGGAGGTGGGGGTGGCGGGGGGAGTGGGGGTGGCGGTGGAGGTGGTGGCGGGAGTGGAGGTACTAGTGGAGGCGGTGGAGGCGGAGGTGGCGGCGGAGGAGGTAGCGGAGGAGGCGGGGGTGAGGGTGCCGGTGGGGGCGGTGGCGGTGGAGACGGGGGTGGCGGTGGAGGCGGGGGTGGCGGTGGCGGCGGGGGTCGGGGTGGCTCGTCTCAGCGGAGCAGCTCTGGGGGTGGTCAGCGCCAGCAGCAGCAGCAGCAGCAGCAGCCACAGCAGCAGCAGCGCTCTCGCACCGTCCCCGCCCCTCAGCAGCTCCGTGAGTGGTACTTGCAGCATCAGCGTGGTGGTGCGTTTGGTCCCTGCCCCTACGTTCTTCGCACCGGCGACCGTGCGGGGGAGAGGTGTGGAGGCACCCACACAGCCCGCCGCTGCTTTGGCCGCCTGACCGACGCCTGGCGTCAGCAGTTTCCGGAGGCCGCTGAGATCCCCCGCTGGGGGGAGCTGTCTAGGGCTGGTGTAGCTATTTATGATCTTGACTTTGATGCTATTCTTTCTGCTATGTATGTTGTGACTGGTAGTGATGAGGATGACTGTTACCGGTGTTTCCCGCCCGACCCGGGCATTGGTACTGCTGCGTCAGGTACTCGTGAGGCTGCTGCTCTAGGTGCCAGTGCGTCTGTGCTCTCAGGTACTGGTGAGTCTGCCCTCTCAGGTACTGTGTCGGCTTCGGCCTCTCACACCTTCACCCTTGACTCTGGAGCGTCTCGCTCCTTCTTTCGGGACCGCACCACTCTCACGCCGCTGAGTCGGCCGGTTGCGGTGTCCCTGGCTGACCCCTCTGGGGGGCCTGTCCTGTCTCGCTTCTCCACGGTCCTTCCGTGTCCGGCGGCCCCCTCTTGCACCCTGTCTGGTCTCTACCTCCCCTCGTTCTCGACGAACCTGGTGAGTGGTGCTGACCTACAGGATGTGGGTGTCCACCAGTTCACTCCTGCTCGTCAGCGGGTGACACACTGCACGGAGGCTAGCACAGGTCGCCACCTGGCTACGTTTACACGTCGGCCGGGGTCGAGCCTGTACACACTGACCACTGCTTCTCCTCCAGGTACTGAGTCTGGTAGGGTCCCTTCGTCTGGTCAGGTGTTTGCTACAGCGTCCAGGTCTGGCCCTGAGTCTGCCCCCTGTTCGTGTCGTCGTCTGTCTCACGAGACCCTCCTCTGGCACCACCGCCTTGGCCACCCCTCTCTGCTTCGGCTCAGAGGTATGGCCTCCCGTCTTCTTGTGTCTGGTCTTCCCCGGTCCCTCCCTCCCCTTCCTCAGGGCCCTGGCCCTGCCTGTGTCCCCTGTGTCGAGGGGCGCCAGCGTGCTGCCCCTCACTCCTCCCAGTTTCCTCCGACAGAGGCCCCGTTGCAGACGCTTCACATGGACGTGTGGGGCCCAGCCCGCGTCCTTGGACAGGGTCAGGAGCCCTACTTCTTGCTCGTTGTTGACGACTACTCGCGTTACACCACAGTCTTCCCCTTGCGCAGCAAGGGTGAGGTCACTGAGGTGCTGATCGACTGGATCCGCGCAGCTCGTCTTCAGCTCAGGCAGAGCTTTGGCTCGGACTTTCCTGTGTTGCGTCTGCACTCGGACAGAGGCGGAGAGTTCTCCTCTACCCTTCTACGTACCTACTGTCGTGCGCGAGGCATCCGCCAGTCCTTCACGCTTCCGGACTCTCCGCAGCAAAATGGGATTGCTGAGCGCCGCATTGGCATGGTCATGGACGTCGCCCGTACGTCCATGATGCATGCGGCTGCCCCCCATTTTCTGTGGCCGTTTGCGGTCAGGTACGCAGCGCATCAGATCAACCTCCACCCCAGGGTCTCCAGGCCGGAGACCTCCCCAGCCCTGCTGTGGACGGGGAAGGTTGGCGATGCGTCGGCGTTCCGGGTCTGGGGATCTCGGGCGTTTGTCCGCGACCTGTCTGCGGACAAGCTGTCCCCTCGCGCTTCTCCCTGCGTCTTCCTGGGGTTCCCCCCCGACGCCCCTGGGTGGCAGTTCTACCACCCCACCTCTCGACGTGTTCTGTCCTCCCAAGACGTCACGTTCGACGAGTCGGTACCCTACTACCGCCTCTTCCCCTACCGCACTCCTTCCCTCCCCCCGCCCCCGCTCTTCTTGGTACCAGGTCCCCCCCCGGTAGACCCCCTCCCCCCTCAGGGTCCTGCCCCTTCAGGTGTGTCCCAGGTAGACGCGGTCGAGCCTGTCGAGGTCACTGGTGACTCTGGTGCTGCTGCGGGTGCTGAGCCTGGGGGTGCTGGGCCTGGGGGTGCTGAGCCTGGGGGTGCGGAGTCTGGGGGTGCTGAGCCTGGGGGTGCTGAGCCTGGGGGTGCGGAGTCTGGGGGTGCTGAGCCTGGGGGTGCTGAGCCTGGGGGTGCTGAGCCTGGGGGTGCGGAGTCTGGGGGTGCGGAGTCTGGGGGTGGTGAGCCTGGGGGTGCTGAGCCTGGGGGTGCTGAGCCTTGGGGTGCTGAGCTTGGGGGTGCTGTGCCTGGGGGTGCTGTGCCTGGAGGTGCTTCGTCTCGCCGTGAGCCACTCTCCCCACAGGAGCTGCGTGAGTGGTTTGCTAGGCGCTGGAGACGTGCTGCTGGTGCTGGAGTTTCTTCGCCTACAGAGGGTGCCACTGCCGTGGGTCCCGGAGGTGCTCGTCTTGGGAGTACTGGAGCTGCTGGGTCTGAGGTTTCTCCTGGAGCTGGTGCTGCTGAGGGTGTTGGCACTGGGACTGCCGCTGGCGGTCCGCCTGGCAGTGCTCCTGGTGGTGCTGCTGGAGGTTCTGGAGCTACTAGAGGTGCTGCTGGAGGTGCTGCTGGAGCGGGTACTCCTGCTGGGGGTACTAGTCCTGTCCCTGCTGTTTCTGGCGTCGCCGCGCGGCCCCGACCGTACTTCGTTCCGCTCCTGCAGCAGGTTCTTGGTCTTACACCTTCTCCTGGTCCTCCTCCTCCTCCCTTAGAGGGTCCGCCGCCTGTCCAGTCACAGCCACCGCTACAGCCTGCCTCCCCTTTGCCTGCTCCTTCTCCCTACGCTGGTCCGACTGGAGGTCTTACTGAGCGTCGTGAGCCTGCGTCTCGTCCTGCGTCGCCTGTTCGTACTGCGCGCGCTAGTGGTCGCGGGTCGCGTCAGCGTCCTCCTCCTGTCCCTGGCACGCACCGGATGTCACTGCGTCCGTCCACTGCTCCTCTACGTGCCCCTTCGCCTTCTCCTCCTGCTTCCTCTCTTCCTGCTCTTGCCGACCCGGAGTCGGACTCTCTTCGTGCTGCCAGTCCTACTGTCACGCGTCTCCTTGCTACTGCTGTCACTGACCCTTCCTTCGAGTCGTCTGCTGCGTCTGCCCTTGTCACTGAGCTTGTCGACTTTGCTGGGCGCTGTCGTCTAGACTACGCTGCCAGTCTTGTCGCTGAGTCTGAGTCTGCCTGTCCTCCGTCCGTCGGGGGTGAGTGTGCCCTTGACACGGACGTCCTTGAGGACAGGCAGGAGGAGTTCCAGTGTCTGGCCGCCGCTTCACCTCATCTCGCGTCTGTACTGCTAGCCCCCGAGGGAGACCCGAAGCACCAGACATCCCGACTCCGCGCTCTTACGCGGAGGCGATAGAGGGTCCCTACTCCTCTTAGTGGCAGGCAGCTATGGATGCAGAGATGGCTTCCTGGAAGTCCACAGGCACCTACGTTGACGCTGTTCCCCCTCCTTGGGCGAACATAGTCAGTGGCATGTGGATTTTCAGGGTGAAGCGGCCGCCGGGTTCTCCGCCTGTCTTCAAGGCGCGTTACGTGGCTCGTGGCTTCAGTCAGCGGCAGGGGGTTGACTACTTTCAGACCTTCTCCCCCACCCCGAAGATGACCACTCTTCGGGTTCTACTGCACGTTGCTGCTCACCGTGACTACGAGCTCCACTCTCTCTACTTAAGCACCGCTTTCTTGCAGGGCAGCCTGCACGAGGAGATCTGGCTGCGTCGCCCACCTGGCTTCACTGGGTCTTTCCCTCCTGGTACCCAGTGGAGTCTCCGGTGTCCAGTCTACGGTCTCCGCCAGGCGCCACGTGAGTGGCACGACACACTGAGGACTACGCTCGCGGCACTTGGGTTTGCTCCTTCTACTGCCGACCCGTCGCTGTTTCTGCGCACCGACACCTCGCTGCCGCCGTTCTACATCCTCGTGTACGTCGACGACTTGGTCTTTGCCACAGCTGACACTGCTGGACTCGCCCACGTGAAGTCCGAGCTGCAGAAGAGACACACGTGCACTGACCTGGGTGAACTGCGTAGCTACCTTGGCTTGCAGATCACCCGGGACAGAGCACGCCGCACCATTTCCCTGACTCAGTCACACATGGTGCAGCAGGTCCTTCAGCGCTTCGGCTTCACGTACTCCTCGCCTCAGGCCACTCCTCTGCCTACTCGCCACTCGCTCTCAGCTCTGCCTTCGGATGAGTCCGTAGAGTCGAGTGGCCCGTTTGCAGAGCTTGTTGGCTGCCTCATGTACCTGATGACCTGCACACGACCTGACCTTGCATACCCTCATAGCATTCTCGCACGCTATGTTGCTCCTGGGAGACACCGACCAGAGCACATGGCTGCAGCGAAGAGGGTGTTGCGCTACTTGTGCAGTACGTCGGGCATGGGGCTAGTGCTTGGAGGGCGCAGTCCAGTGGTCCTCACTGAGCCCGCAGACGCTTCTTGGGCTGACGACCAGGCTACGCAGCGGTCGTCACAGGGTTACACCTTCAGCCTTGGTTCCGGCTCTGTTTCGTGGCGGGCTACCTGCTCGTCTTCTGTTCTCGGCTCCTGTTTTGAGGCTGAGATCTACGCTGGGGCTATGGCTGCACAGGAGTTACGCTGGCTCACCTACCTGCTGACCGACCTTGGAGAGCAGCCTCGTTCTCCTCCAGTCCTGTACGTAGACAACAAGGCCATGCTGGCCTTGTGTCGAGAGCAGCGACTGGAGCACAGAACGAAGCACATTGCTCTCCGCTACTTTCTTGCTCGTGAGCTACAGCAGCGTGGACAGTTGCGACTTGCGTACGTGGCCTCTGAGGCCAACACTGCTGATGTCTTCACCGAGGCACTTGCGCCTTGTGATCATCAGCGTTGTTGCACGCAGTTGGGTCTTGTGCCTGTCTTGCCTCACTTACTCACTTCTTGACCTTGCTTGTACCTTCGCCTATATATACTCTTGCTCTTGCTTACTTGACTCTTGTATATCTCTATATATGATCTTGCATGTGAACTGGCCTTCTGGCCTTTGAACTTGTGCTCGGAATGCGTGGTGACTTTGTGATCCACCCTGAGCTTTGCTTTGCTTTGCTTGACTGGTCTTCTTACCCCTTGTTCTCCCCCACTTTGCCTATGGGGGTGTGTCAGAACATATAGCTTACTTGTTTCTGTAGGCTATAGTGGGGTATCCCATAGGGGGTACAACCCAAATTAGGGTTTCCTATTTGTACTCACTTCGTTCATAGTCATTCCATTCTCGTTCATATCTTCTCAACGTCCACGTCCACGTCCACGTCCAGGTCCAGGTCCACGTCCATGTCCACGTCCACGTCCACGTCCACGTCCACGACCACGTCCACGTCCACGTCCACAACAACGTCCACGTCCACGACCACGTCCACGTCCACGTCCACGTCCACGTCCACATCCTCCACGTCCACGTCCTCCACGTCCACCTCCACGTCCACGTCTACGTCCAAGTCCACGTCCACGTCCACGTCCACGACCACGTCCACGTCCACGTCCACGACCACGTCCACGTCCACGACCACGTCCACGTCCACGTCCACGTCCACGACCACGTCCACGTCCACGTCCACGACCACGTCCACGACCACGTCCACAACCACGTCCACGTCCAAGTCCACGTCCACGTCCACATCCACGTCCAAGTCCACGTCCACGTCCACGACCACGTCCACGTCCACGTCCACGTCCACGTCCACGACCACGTCCACGTCCACGTCCATGTCCATGACCACGCCCACGTCCACGTCCACGTCCACGACCACGTCCACGTCCACGTCCACGTCCACGTCCACGTCCAGGTCCACGTCCATGTCCACGTCCACGTCCACGACCACGTCCACGTACACGTCCACGTCCACGTCCACGTACACGTCCACGTCCACGTCCACGTCCACGTCCACGACCACGTCAACGTCCACATCCACGTCCACGTCCACGTCCAAGTCCACGTCCACGTCCACGTCCAAGTCCACGTCCACGTCCTCGTCCTCCACGTCCACGTCCACGTCCTCGTCCTCCACGTCCACGTCCACGTCCACGACCACATCCATGTCCACGTCCACGTCCACGTCCAGGTCCACGTCCATGTCCACGTCTACGTCTACGACCACGTCCACGTACACGTCCACGTCCACGTCCACGTCCACGTACACGTCCACGTCCACATCCACGACCACATCCACGTCCACGTCCACGTCCACGTCCAAGTCCACGTCCACGTCCACGTCCAAGTCCACGTCCACGTCCTCTTCCTCCACGTCCACGTCCACGTCCTCGTCCTCCACGTCCACGTCCACGTCCTCCACGTCCACGTCCACGTCCACGTCCACGTCCACGTCCACATCCCACGTCCACGTCCACGTCCACGTCCATGTCCACGACCACGTCCACTTCCACATCCACGTCCACGTCCACGACCACGTCCACGACCACGTCCACTTCCAAGTCCCCGACCACATCCACGTCCACGTCCAAGTCCACGTCCACGTCCACGTCCACGTCCACGTCCACGTCCTCGACCACGTCCACTTCCACGTCCACGTCCACGTCCACGACCACGTCCACGACCACGTCCACGACCACGTCCACGTCCACGTCCACGTCCACGTCAACGTCCACGTCGACGTCCACGTCCACATCCACGACCACGTCCACGTCCACGTCAACGTCCACGTCCACGTCCACGTCCACGTCCACGTCCACGTCCAAGTCCACGTCCACGTCCACGACCACGTCCACATCCACGTCCACGTCCAGGTCCACGTCCAAGTCCACGTCCACGTCCACGTCCACGACCATGTCCACGTCCACGACCACGTCCACGTCCACGTCCACGTCCACGACCACGTCCACGTCCACGTCCACGTCCACATCCACGTCCATGTCCACGTCCACGACCACGTCCACGTCCACGTCCACGTCCACGTCCAGGTCCACGTCCAGGTCCACGTCCACGTCCACGTCCACGTCCACGTCCACGACCACGTCCACGTCCACGACCACGTCCACGACCACGTCCACAACCACGTCCACGTCCAAGTCCACGTCCACGTCCACATCGACGTCCAAGTCCACGTCCACGTCCACGACCACGTCCACGTCCACGTCCACGTCCACGTCCACGACCACGTCCACGTCCACGTCCATGTCCATGACCACGCCCACGTCCACGTCCACGTCCACGACCACGTCCACGTCCACGTCCACGTCCACGTCCACGTCCAGGTCCACGTCCATGTCCACGTCCACGTCCACGACCACGTCCACGTACACGTCCACGTCCACGTCCACGTCCACGTACACGTCCACGTCCACGTCCACGTCCACGTCCACGACCACGTCAACGTCCACATCCACGTCCACGTCCAAGTCCACGTCCACGTCCACGTCCAAGTCCACGTCCACGTCCTCGTCCTCCACGTCCACGTCCACGTCCTCGTCCTCCACGTCCACGTCCACGTCCACGACCACATCCATGTCCACGTCCACGTCCACGTCCAGGTCCACGTCCATGTCCACGTCTACGTCTACGACCACGTCCACGTACACGTCCACGTCCACGTCCACGTCCACGTACACGTCCACGTCCACATCCACGACCACATCCACGTCCACGTCCACGTCCAAGTCCACGTCCACGTCCACGTCCAAGTCCACGTCCACGTCCTCTTCCTCCACGTCCACGTCCACGTCCTCGTCCTCCACGTCCACGTCCACGTTCTCCACGTCCACGTCCACGTCCACGTCCACGTCCACGTCCACATCCCACGTCCACGTCCACGTCCACGTCCATGTCCACGACCACGTCCACTTCCACATCCACGTCCACGTCCACGACCACGTCCACGACCACGTCCACTTCCAAGTCCCCGACCACATCCACGTCCACGTCCAAGTCCACGTCCACGTCCACGTCCACGTCCACGTCCACGTCCTCGACCACGTCCACTTCCACGTCCACGTCCACGTCCACGACCACGTCCACGACCACGTCCACGACCACGTCCACGTCCACGTCCACGTCCACGTCAACGTCCACGTCGACGTCCACGTCCACATCCACGACCACGTCCACGTCCACGTCCACGTCAACGTCCACGTCCACGTCCACGTCCACGTCCACGTCCACGTCCAAGTCCACGTCCACGTCCACGACCACGTCCACATCCACGTCCACGTCCAGGTCCACGTCCAAGTCCACGTCCACGTCCACGTCCACGACCATGTCCACGTCCACGACCACGTCCACGTCCACGTCCACGTCCACGACCACGTCCACGTCCACGTCCACATCCACGTCCATGTCCACGTCCACGACCACGTCCACTTCCACGTCCACGTCCACGTCCACGTCCAGGTCCACGTCCAGGTCCACGTCCACGTCCACGTCCACGTCCACGTACACGTCCACGTCCACGTCCATGTCCACGTACACGTCCACGTCCACGTCCACGTCCACGTCCACGTCCACATCCACGTCCAAGTCCACGTCCACGTCCTCGTCCTCCACGTCCACGTCCACGTCCTCGTCCTCCACGTCCACGTCCATGTCCACGTCCACGTCCACGTCCTCGTCGTCCACGACCACGTCCATGTCCACGTCCACGTCCACGTCCACGTCCAGGTCCACGTCCATGTCCACGTCTACGTCTATGACCACGTCCACGTACACGTCGACGTCCACGTCCACGTCCACGTACACGTCCACGTCCACATCCACGACCACATCCACGTCCACGTCCACGTCCACGTCCAAGTCCACGTCCACGTCCACGTCCTCGTCCTCCACGTCCACGTCCACGTCCTCGTCCTCCACGTCCACGTCCACATCCACGTCCACGTCCACGTCCTCCACGTCCACGTCCACGTCCACGTTCACGTCCACGTCCACATCCCACGTCCACGTCCACGTCCACGACCACGTCCACTTCCACGTCCACGTCCACGTCTACGACCACGTCCACGACCACGTCCACTTCCAAGTCCACGACCACATCCACGTCCACGTCCAAGTCCACGTCCACGTCCACGTCCACGTCCACGTCCTCGACCACGTCCACTTCCACGTCCACGACCACGTCCGCGACCACGTCCACGACCACGTCCACGTCCACGTCCACGTCCACGTCCACGTCGACGTCCACGTCGACGTCCACGTCCACATCCACGACCACGTCCACGTCCACGTCCACGTCCACGTCCACGTCCACGTCCACGTCCACGTCCAAGTCCACGTCCACGACCACGTCCACGACCACGTCCACGTCCAGGTCCACGTCTACGTCCACGTCCACGACCACGTCCACGTCCACGACCACGTCCTCGTCCACGTCCACGTCCACGACCACGTCCACGTCCACGTCCACGTCCACGTCCACGTCCACGTCCAGGTCCACGTCTACGTCCACGTCCACGTCCACGACCACGTCCACGTCCACGTCCACGACCACGTCCAGGTCCACGACCACGTCCACGTTCACGTCTACGTCCACGTCCACGTCCTCCACGTCCACGTCCACGTCCTCCACGTCCACCTCCACGTCCACGTCTACGTCCGAGTCCACGTCAACGTCCACGTCCACGACCACGTCCACGTCCACGTCCACGTCCACGACCACGTCCACGTCCACGACCACGTCCACGTCCACGTCCACGTCCACGACCACGTCCACGTCCACGTCCACGTCCACGACCACGTCCACGTCCACGTCCACGTCCACGTCCACGTCCAAGTCCACGTCCACGTCCAGGTCCACGTCCACGTCCACGTCCACGTCCACGTCCAAGTCCACATTGACGTCCACGTCCACGTCCACGTCCACGACCACGTCCACGTCCACGTCCACGTCCACGACCACGTCCACGTCCACGTCCAAGTCCACGTCCAAGTCCACGTCCACATCCACGTCCACGTCCACGACCACGTCGAGGTCCACGTCCATGTCCACGTCCACGACCACGTCCACGACCACATCCACGTCCACGTCCACGACCATTTTCACGTCCACGTCCACGTCCACGTCCATGTCCACGACCACGTCCACGTTCACGTCCACGTCCACGACCACGTCCACGTCCACGTCCACGTCCTCCACCACGTCCACCACCACGTCCACATCCACGTCCACGTCCACGACCACGTCCACGTCCACGTCCACGTCCACGACCACGTCCACGTCCACGTCCACGTCAACGACCACGTCCACGTCCACGACCACGTCCCTGACCACGTCCACGTCCACGTCCACGTCCATGACCACGTCCACGTCAACGTCCACGACCACGTCCACGTCCACGACCACGTCCACGTCCACGTCCACGTCCACGTCCACGTCCAGGTCCACGTCCATGTCCACGTCCACGTATGACCACGTCCACGTGCACGTCCACGTCCACGTCCACATCCACGTCCACGACCACGTCCACGTCCACGTCCACGTCCACGACCACGTCCACGTCCACGACCACGTCCACGTCCACGTCCACGTCCACGTCCACGTCCTCCACTTCCACGTCCACGTCAACGTCCAAGTCCACGTCCACGTCCACGTCCACGACAACGTCCACGTCCACGTCCACGTCCACGTCCACGACCACGTCCACGTCCACGACCACGTCCACGTCCACGTCCACGACCACGTCCACGTCCACGTCCACGTCCACGTCCACGACCACGTCCACGTCCACGTCCACGTCCACGTCCACGTCCGATTCCACGTCCACGTCCATGTCCAAGCCACGTCCACGTCCAAGTCCACGTCCACGTCCAAGTCCACGTCCACGTCCACGTCCACGACCACGTCCACGTCCAAGTCCACGTCCACGTCCACGTCCACGTTCACGTCCACGTCCACGACCACGTCCACGTCCACGTCCACGTCCACGTCTACGTCCACGACCACGTCCACGTCCACGTCCACGTCCACGACCACGTCCACGTCCACGTCCACGTCCACGACCACCTCCACGTCCATGACCACGTCCAGGTCCACGTCCACGTCCACGACCACGTCCACGACCACGTACACGTCCACGTCCACGTCCACGTCCACGACCACGTCCACGTCCACGTCCACGTCCACGACCACGTCCACGTCCACGTCCACGACCACGTCCACGACCACGTCCACGTCCACGTCCAAGTCCACGTCAAAGTCCACGTCCACGTCCACGTCCACGACCACGTCCAAGTCCATGTCCACGTCCACGTCCACGACCGCGTCCACGACCATGTCCACGACCACGTCCACGTCCACGTCCATGTCCACGTCCACGTCCACGACCACGTCCACGACCATGACCACGTCCACGACCACGTCAACGTCCACGTCCACGTACACGTCCACGTCCACGTCCACGTTCACGTCCACGTCCACGTCCACGTCCACGACCACGTCCACGTCCACGTCCACGACCACGTCCACGTCCACGTCCTCGTCCACGTTCACGTCCACGTTCACGTCCACGTCCACGTCCACGACCACGTCCACGACCACGTCCACGTCAACGTCCACGACCACGTCTACGTCCAAGTCCACGTCCACGTCTACGTCCACGTCCAGGTCCACGTCCACGACCACGTCCACGTCCACGTCCACGTCCACGTCCAGGTCCACGTCCACGTCCACGTCCACGTCCACGACCACGTCCACGTCCACGACCACGTCCACGTCCACGTCCACGTCCACGTCCACGACCACGTCCACGTCCACGTCCACGTCCAGGTGCACGTCCACGTCCACGTCCACGACCACGTCCACGTACACGTCCACGTCCACGCCCACGTCCACGACCACGTCCACGTCCACGACCACGTCCACGTCCACGACCACGTCCACGTCCACGTCCACGTCCACGTCCACGTCCTCCACGTCCACGTCCACGTCCTCCACGTCCACGTCCACGTCTACGTCCAAGTCCACGTCCATGTCCACGTCCACGTCCACGTCCATGACAACGTCACGTCCACATCCACATCCACGACCACGTCCACGTCCACGACCACGTCCACGTCCACGTCCACATCCACGACCACGTCCACGTCCACGTCCATGTCCACGACCACGTCCACGTCCACGTCCACGTCCACGTCCACCTCCACGACCACGTCCACGTCCACGTCCACGACCATGTCCACGTCCACGTCCACGTCCACGTCCACGTCCAAGTCCACGTCCACGTCCAGGTCCAAGCCACGTCCACGTCCACGTCCACGTCCAAGTCCACGTCCACGTCCACGTCCACGTCCACGACCACGTCCACGTCCAAGTCCACGTCCACGTCCACGACCACGTCCACGTCCACGACCACGTCCACGTCCACGTCCTCCACGTCCACGTCCACGTCCTCCACGTCCACGTCCACGTCTACGTCCAAGTCCACGTCCACGTCCACGTCCACGTCCACGACCATGTCCATGTCCACGTCCACGACCACGTCCACGTCCACGACCACGTCCAGGTCCACGTCCACGTCCACGTCACGTCCAAGACCACGTACACGTACACGTCCACGTCCACGTCCACGACCACGTCCACGTCCACGTCCACGTCCACGACCACGTCCACGTCCACGTCCACGACCACGTCCACGACCACGTCCACGTCCACGTCCAAGTCCATGTCCAAGTCCACGTCCACGTCCACGACCACGTCCAGGTCCACGTCCACGTCCACGTCCACGACCACGTCCACGACCACGTCCACGACCACGTCCACCTCCACGTCCACGTCCACGTCCTTGTCCACCTCCACGTCCACGACCACGTCCACGTCCATGTCCACGTCCACGTCCACATCCACGACCACGACCACGTCCACGTCCACGTCAACGTCCATGTCCACGTCCACGTCCATGTCCACGTTCACGTCCACGTCCACGTCCACGACCACGTCCACGTCCACGTTTACGTCCACGTCCACGTCCACGACCACGTCCACGACCACGTCCACGTCCATGTCCACGTCCACGTCCATGTCCACGTCCACTTCAACGTCCACGTCCATGTCCACGTCCACGTCCACGTCTACGTCCACGTCCACGTCCATGTCCAACTCCATGTCCACCTCCACGTCCATGTCCACGTCCACGTCCACGTCCACGTCCATGTCCACGTCCACGTTCACGTCCACGTCCATGTTCACGTCCACGTCCACGTCCATGTCCACGTCCACGTCCACGTCCACGTCCACGTCCACGTCCACGTCCACGTCCACGTCCATGTCCACGTACACGTCCACGTCCATGTCCACGTCCACGTCCACGTCCACGTCCACGACCATGTCCACGTCCACGTCCACGTCAACGTCCACGTCCATGTCCACGTCCACGTCCACGTCCACGTCCATGTCCACGTCCACGTCCACGTCGACGTCCAGGTCGACGTCCACGTCCACGTCCACGTTCACGTCCATGTCCACGTCCACGTCCACGTCCACGTCCATGTTCACGTCCACGTCCACGTCCACGTCCATGTACACGTCCATGTCCACGTCCACGTCCACGTCCACGTCCACGTCCACGTCCACGTCCACCACCACGTCCACGTCCACGTCCACGTCCATGTCCATGTCCACGTCCACGTCCACGTCCACGTCCACGTCCACGTCCACGTCCATGTCCACGTCCACGTCCACGTCCACGTCCACGTCCACGTCCACGTCCACGTCCATGTCCACGTCCACGTCCACGTCCACGTCCACGTCCACGTCCATGTCCACGTCCACGTCCATGTCCACGTCCACGTCCACGTCCACGTCCACGTCCACGTCCATGTCCACGTCCACGTCCACGTCCACGTCCACGTCCACGTCCACGTCCACGTCCACGTCCACGTCCATGTCCACGTCCACGTCCACGTCCACGTCCATGTCCACGTCCATGTCCACGTCCACACGTCCACGTCCACGTCCACGTCCAGGTCCACGTCCACGTCCACGTCCACACGTCCACGTCCAAGTCCACGTCCACGTCCACGACCACGTCCACGTCCACGACCACGACCACGTCCACGTCCACGTCCACGACCACGTCCACGTCCACGTCCTCCACGTCCACGTCCACGTCCACGTCCAAGTCCACGTCCACGTCCACGTCCACGACCATGTCCACATCCACGTCCACGACCACGTCCACGTCCACGACCACGTCCAGGTCCACGTCCACATCCACATCACGTCCAAGACCACGTACACGTACACGTCCACGTCGACATCCACGACCACGTCCACGTCCACGTCCACGTCCACGACCACGTCCACGTCCACGTCCACAACCACGTCCACGACCACGTCCACGTCCACGTCCAAGTCCAAGTCCAAGTCCACGTCCACGTCCACGTCCACGACCACGTCCAGGTCCACGTCCACGTCCACGTCCACGACCACGTCCACGACCACGTCCACGACCACGTCCATCTCCACGTCCACGTCCACGTCCTTGTCCACGTCCACGTCCACGACCACGTCCACGTCCATGTCAACGTCCACGTCCACATCCACGACCACGACCACGTCCACGTCCACGTCAACGTCCATGTCCACGTCCATGTCCATGTCCACGTTCACGTCCACGTCCACGTCCACGACCACGTCCACGTCCACGACCACGTCCACATCCACTTCCACGACCACGTCCACGACCACGTCCACGTCCACGTCCATGTCCACGTCCACGTCCATGTCCACGTCCACTTCCACGTCCACGTCCATGTCCACGTCCACGTCCACGTCCACGTCTACGTCCACGTCCACGTCCATGTCCACCTCCATGTCCACGTCCACGTCCATGTCCACGTCCATGTCCATGTCCATGTCCACGTCCACGTCCACGTCTACGTCCATGTCCACGTCCACGTCCATGTCCACGTCCACGTCCACGTCCATGTCCACGTCCACGTCCACGTCCACGTCCACCTCACGTCCACGTCCACGTCCATGTCCACGTCCACGTCTACGTCCACGTCCACGTCCATGTCCACATACACGTCCACGTCCATGTCTACGTCCACGTCCACGTCCACGTCCACGACCATGTCCACGTCCACGTCCACGTCCACGTCAACGTCCACGTCCATGTCCACGTCCACGTCCACGTCCACGTCCACGTCCACGTCCACGACCATGTCCACGTCCACGTCCACGACCACGTCCACGTCCACGACCACGTCCAGGTCCACGTCCACGTCCACATCACGTCCAAGACCACGTACACGTACACGTCCACGTCCACGTCCACGTCCACGACCACGTCCACGTCCACGTCCACGTCCACGTCCACGTCCACGACCACGTCCACGTCCACGACCACGTCCACGACCACGTCCACGTCCACGTCCACGTCGTTGTCCACGTCCACGTCCACGTCCACGACCACGTCCAGGTCCACGTCCACGTCCACGTCCACGACCACGTCCACGACCACGTCCACGACCACGTCCACCTCCACGTCCACGTCCACGTCCTTGTCCACGTCCACGTCCACGACCACGTCCACGTCCACGTCCGCGTCAACGTCTAGGTCCACGACCACGTCCAGGTCTACGTCCTTGTCCACGTCCACGTCCACGTCCACCTCCACGTCCACGTCCACGACCACGTCCACGTCCACGTCCACGTCCACGTCGACGTCCACGTCCACGTCCACGTCCACGTCCACGTCCATGTCCACGTCCATGTCCACGTCCACATCCACGTCCACGTCCATGTCCACGTCCACGTCCACGTCCACGACCACGTCCATGTCCACGTCCACGTCCGCGTCAACGTCTAGGTCCACGTCCACGTCCACGTCCACGTCCAAGTCCTCCACGTCCACGTCCACGTCCACGTCCACGTCCACGTCCATGTCCACGTCCACGTCCACGTCCACGTCCATGTCCACGTCCACGTCCACGTCCATGTCCACGTCCATGTCCACGTCCACGTCCACGTCCACGTCCACGTCCACGTCCATGTCCACGTCCACGTCCACGTCCACGTCCATGTCCACGTCCACGTCCACGTCCACGTCCACGTCCACGACCACGTCCACGACCACGTCCACGTCAACGTCTAGGTCCACGACCACGTCCACGTCCACGTCCTGGTCCACGTCCACGTCCACGTCCACCTCCACGTCCACGTCCACGACCACGTCCACGTCCACGTCCACGTCCACGTCGACGTCGACGTCCACGTCCACGTCCACGTCCACGTCCATGTCCACGTCCATGTCCACGTCCACGTCCACGTCCACGTCCACGTCCATGTCCACGTCCACGTCCACGTCCACGTCCACGACCACGTCCATGTCCACGTCCACGTCCGCGTCAACGTCTAGGTCCACGTCCACGTCCACGTCCACGTCCAAGTCCTCCACGTCCACGTCCACGTCCACGTCCACGTCCACGTCCACGTCCACGTCCATGTCCACGTCCACGTCCACGTCCATGTCCACGTCCACGTCCACGTCCACGTCCACGTCCACGTCCACGTCCACGTCCATGTCCACGTCCACGTCCTCGTCCACGTCCACGACCACGTCCACGTCCACGTCCACGACCAAGTCCACGACCAAGTCCACGTCCGCGTCCACGTCCACGACCACGTCCACGTCCACGTCCACGTCCACATCCACGACCACGACCACGTCCACGTCCACGTCAACGTCCATGTCCACGTCCACGTCCATGTCCACGTTCACGTCCACGTCCACGTCCACGACCACGTCCACGTCCACGTCCACGACCACGTCGACGTCCACGTTTACGTCCACGTCCACGTCCACGACCACGTCCACGACCACGTCCACGTCCATGTCCACGTCCACGTCCATGTCCACGTCCACTTCAACGTCCACGTCCATGTCCACGTCCACCTCCACGTCTACGTCCACGTCCACGTCCATGTCCAACTCCATGTCCACGTCCACGTCCATGTCCACGTCCACGTCCACGTCCACGTCCATGTCCATGTCCACGTTCACGTCCACGTCCATGTTCACGTCCACGTCCACGTCCACGTCCATGTCCACGTCCACGTCCACGTCCACGTCCACGTCCACCTCACGTCCACGTCCACGTCCATGTCCACGTCCACGTCCACGTCCACGTCCATGTCCACGTACACGTCCACGTCCATGTCCACGTCCACGTCCACGTCCACGACCATGTCCACGTCCACGTCCACGTCCACGTCAACGTCCACGTCCATGTCCACGTCCACGTCCACGTCCACGTCCACGTCCACGTCCACGTCCACGTCCACGTCCACGTTCACGTCCACGTCCACGTCCACGTCCACGTCCACGTCCACGTCCATGTCCACGTCCACGTCCACGTCCATGTCCACGTCGACGTCCACGTCCACGTCCACGTCCACGTCCACGTCCACGTCCACGTCCACGTCCACGTCCACGTCCACGTCCACGTCCATGTCCACGTCCACGTCCACGTCCACGTCCACGTCCATGTCCACGTGCACGTCCATGTCCACGTCCACGTCCACGTCCACGTCCACGTCCATGTCCACGTCCACGTCCACGTCCATGTCCACGTCCACGTCCATGTCCACGTCCACGTCCACATCCACGTCCACGTCCATGTCCACGTCCATGTCCACGTCCACACGTCCACGTCCAAGTCCAAGTCCACGTCCACGACCACGACCACGTCCACGTCCACGTCCACGACCACGTCCACGTCCACGTCCTCCACGTCCACGTCCACGTCCACGTCCAAGTCCACGTCCACGTCCACGTCCACGTCCACGACCATGTCCACGTCCACGTCCACGACCACGTCCACGTCCACGACCACGTCCAGGTCCACGTCCACATCCACATCACGTCCAAGACCACGTACACGTACACGTCCACGTCCACGTCCACGACCACGTCCACGTCCACGTCCACGTCCACGTCCACGACCACGTCCACGTCCACGTCCACGACCACGTCCACGACCACGTCCACGTCCACGTCCAAGTCCAAGTCCAAGTCCACGTCCACGTCCACGTCCACGACCACGTCCAGGTCCACGTCCACGTCCACGTCCACGACCACGTCCACGACCACGTCCACGACCACGTCCACCTCCACGTTCACGTCCACGTCCTTGTCCACGTCCACGTCCATGTCCACGTCCATGTCCACGTCCATGTCCACGTCCATGTCCACGTCCACGTCCACGTCCATGTCCACGTCCACGTCCATGTCTATGTCCACGTCCACGTCCACGTCCACGTCCACGACCACGTCCACGTCCACGACCACGTCCACGTCCACGTCCACGACCATGTCCACGACCACGTCCACGTCCACGTCCATGTCCACGTCCACGTCCATGTCCACGTCCACTTCCACGTCCACGTCCATGTCCACGTCCACGTCCACGTCTACGTCCACGTCCATGTCCATGTCCACCTCCATGTCCACGTCCACGTCCATGTCCACGTCCATGTCCATGTCCATGTCCACGTCCACGTCCACGTCCACGTCCAGGTCCACGTCCACGTCCATGTCCACGTCCACGTCCACGTCCATGTCCACGTCCACGTCCACGTCCACGTCCACGTCCACGTCCACGTCCACGTCCACCTCACGTCCACGTCCACGTCCATGTCCACGTCCACGTCCATGTCCACGTCCACGTCCACGTCCTCGTCCACGACCATGTCCACGTCCACGTCCACGTCCACGTCAACGTCCACGTCCATGTCCACGTCCACGTCCACGTCCACGTCCACGTCCACGTCCAAGTCCACGTCCACGTCCACGTCCACGTCCACGTCCATGTCCACGTCCATGTCCACGTCCACGTCCACGTCCACGTCCACGTCCTCGTCCACGTCCACGACCACGTCCACGTCCACGTCCATGTCCACGTCCACGTCCGCGTCAACGTCTAGGTCCACGTCCACGTCCACGTCCACGTCCAAGTCCTCCACGTCCACGTCAACGTCCACGTCCACGTCCATGTCCATGTCCACGTCCACGTCCACGTCCACGTCCATGTCCACGTCCACGTCCACGTCCATGTCCACGTCCATGTCCACGTCCACGTCCACGTCCACGTCCACGTCCACGTCCACGTCCATGTCCACGTCCACGTCCACGTCCACGTCCATGTCCACGTCCACGTCCACGTCCATGTCCACGTCCATGTCCACGTCCACGTCCACGTCCACGTCCATGTCCACGTCCACGTCCATGTCCATGTCCACGTCCACGTCCACGTCCAAGTCCATGTCCACGTCCACGTCCGCGTCAACGTCTAGGTCCACGTCCACGTCCACGTCCAAGTCCTCCACGTCCACGTCCATGTCCACGTCCACGTCCACGTCCACGTCCATGTCCACGTCCACGTCTACGTCCACGACCATGTCCACGTCCACTTCTACGTCCTCGTCCACGTCCACGTCCATGTCCACGTCCAAGTCCTCCACGTCCACGTCAGCGTCCATGTCCACGTCCACGTCCATGTCCACGTCCACGTCCACGTCCACGTCCACGTCCATGTCCACGTCCACGTCCATGTCCACGTCCACGTCCACGTCCATGTCCATGTCCACGTCCACGTCTACGTCCATGTCCACGTCCATGTCCATGTCCACGTCCATGTCCACGTCCATGTCCACGTCCACGTCCACGTCCACGTCCATGTCCACGTCCACGTCCACGTCCATGTCCATGTCCACGTCCATGTCCACGTCTATGTCCACGTGAGTCCATGTCCACGTCCATGTCCACGTCCACGTCCACGTCCATGTCCACGTCCACGTCCATGTCCACGTCCTTATCCAGGTCCACGTCCACATCCACGTCCATGTCCACGTCCAAGTCCTCCACGTCCACGTCCACGTCCATGTCCACGTCCACGTCCACGTCCACGTCCACGTCCATGTCCACGTACACGTCCACGTCCATGTCCACGTCCACGTCCACATCCACGTCCACAACCATGTCCACGTCCACGTCCACGTCCACGTCCACGTCCACGTCCACGTCCACGTCCAGGTCCACGTCCACGTCCACGTCTACGTCCACGTTCATGTCCACGTCCACGTCCACGTCCACGTCCATGTCCACGTCCACATCCACGTCCACGTCCATGTACACGTCCACGTCCATGTCCACGTCCACGTCCACGTCCACGTCCACGACCATGTCCACGTCCACGTCCACGTCCACGTCCACGTCCACGTCCACGTCCACGTCCACGTCCACGTCCACAACCACGTCCACGTCCACGTCCATGTCCACGTCCAAGTCCTCCACGTCCACGACCACGTCCACGTCCACGTCAACGTCCACGTCCACGACCACGTCCACGTCCACGACCACGTCCACGTCCACGTCCACCTCCACGACCACGTCCACGTCCACGTCCACGACCACGTCCACGTCCACGTCCACGTCCACGTCCACGTCCACGTCGACGTCCACGTCCACGTCCACGTCCACGTCCACGTCCATGTCCACGTCCATGTCCACGTCCACGTCCACGTCCACGTCCATGTCCACGTCCACGTCCACGTCCATGTCCACGTCCACGTCCACGTCCACGTACACGTCCACGTCCATGTCCACGTCCACGTCCACGTCCACGTCCACGACCATGTCCACGTCCACGTCCACGTCCACGTCCACGTCCACGTCCATGTCCATGTCCATGTCCACGTCCACGTCCACGTCCACGTCCACGTCCACGTCCACGTCCACGTCCATGTCCACGTCCACGTCCACGTCCACGTCCACGTCCACGTCCAAGTCCACGTCCACGTTCACGTCCACGTCCACGTCCACGGCCACGTCCATGTCCACGTCCATGTCCACGTCCACACGTCCACGTCCAAGTCCACGTCCACGTCCACGACCACGTCCACGTCCACGACCACGACCACGTCCACGTCCACGACCACGTCCACGTCCACGTCCACGTCCACGACCACGTCCACGTCCTCCACGTCCACGTCCACGTCCAAGTCCACGTCCACGTCCACGTCCACGTCCACGTCCACGACCATGTCCACGTCCACGTGCACGACCACGTCCACGTCCACGACCACGTCCAGGTCCACGTCCACGTCCACATCACGTCCAAGACCACGTACACGTACACGTCCACGTCCACGTCCACGTCTACGACCACGTCCACGTCCACGTCCACGTCCACGTCCACGACCACGTCCACGTCCACGTCCACGACCACGTCCATGACCACGTCCACGTCCACGTCCACGTCCTTGTCCACGTCCACGTCCACGTCCACGACCACGTCCAGGTCCACGTCCACGTCCACGTCCACGACCACGTCCACGACCACGTCCAGGACCACGTCCACCTCCACGTCCACGTCCACGTCCTTATCCACGTCCACGTCCACGACCACGTCCACGTCCACGTCCGCATCAACGTCTAGGTCCACGACCACGTCCACGTCCACGTCCTTGTCCACGTCCAAGTCCACGTCCACCTCCACGTCCACGTCCACGACTACGTCCACGTCCACGTCCACGTCCACGTCCACGTCGACGTCCACGTCCACGTCCACGTCCACGTCCATGTCCACGTCCATGTCCACGTCCACGTCCACGTCCACGTCCACGTCCATGTCCACGTCCACGTCCACGTCCACGTCCACGTCCATGTCCACGTCCACGTCCACGTCCACGTCCACGTCCACGTCCATGTCCACGTCCATGTCCACGTCCACGTCCACGACCACGTCCACGTCCACGTCCTCGTCCACGTCCACGACCACGTCCACGTCCACGTCTACGACCACGTCCATGTCCACGTCCACGTCCGCGTCAACGTCTAGGTCCACGTCCACGTCCACGTCCACGTCCAAGTCCTCCACGTCCACGTCCACGTCCACGTCCATGTCCACGTCCACGTCCACGTCCACGTCCACGTCCATGTCCACGTCCACGTCCACGTCCATGTCCACGTCCATGTCCACGTCCACGTCCACGTCCACGTCCACGTCTACGTCCACGTCCACGTCCTCGTCCACGTCCACGACCACGTCCACGTCCACGTCCACAACCAAGTCCATGTCCACGTCCACGTCCACGTCCACGTCCACGTCCACGTCCACGACCACGTCCACGTCCTCGTCCACGTCCTCGTCCACGTCCACGACCACGTCCACGTCCACGTCCACGTCCACGTCCATGTCCACGTCCACGTCCGCGTCAACGTCTAGGTCCACGTCCACGTCCACGTCCAAGTCCTCCACGTCCACGTCCACGTCCACGTCCACGTCCACGTCCACGTCCATGTCCACGTCCACGTCCACGTCCATGTCCACGTCCACGTCCACGTCCATGTCCACGTCCACGTCCACGTCCACGTCCACGTCCACGTCCACGTCCATGTCCACGTCCACGTCCACGTCCTCGTCCACGTCCACGACCACGTCCACGTCCACGTCCACGACCAAGTCCACGTCCACGTCCTCGTCCGCGTCCACGACCACGTCCACGTCCACGTCCACGACCAAGTCCATGTCCACGTCCACGTCCGCGTCAACGTCTAGGTCCACGTCCACGTCAACGTCTAGGTCGTCCACGTCCACGTCCACGTCCACGTCCACGTCCACATCCACGTCCACGTCCATGTCCACGTCCACGTCCACGTCCATGTCCACATCCACGTCCATGTCCACGTACACGTCCACGTCCATGTCCACGTCCACGTCCACATCCACGTCCACGACCATGTCCACGTCCACGTCCACGTCCACGTCCACGTCCACGTCCACGTCCATGTCCACGTCCACGTCCACGTCCACGTCCACGTCCACGTCCATGTCCACGTCCATGTCCACGTCCACGTCCACGTCCACGTCCACGTCCATGTCCACGTCCACGTCCACGTCCATGTCCATGTCCACGTCCACGTCCACGTCCACGTCCATGTACACGTCCACGTCCACGTCCACGTCCACGTCCACGTCCACGTCCACGACCACGTCCACGTCCACGTCCACGTCCACGACCACGTCCACGTCCACGTCCACGTCCACGTCCACGTCCACGTCCACGTCCACGTCCACGTCCACGACCACGACCACGTCCACGACCACGTCCATGTCCACGTCCATGTCCACGTCCAAGTCCTCCACGTCCACAACCACGTCCACGTCCACGTCAACGTCCACGTCCACGACCACGTCCACGTCCACGACCACGTCCACGTCCACGACCACGTCCACGTCCACGTCCACGTCCACGACCATGTCCACGTCCTCGTCCACGTCCATGTCCACGTCCACGTCCACGTCCACGTCCACGTCCATGTCAACGTCCACGTCCACGTCCACGTCCACGTCCACGTCCACGTCCAGGTACACGTCCACGTCCATGTCCACGTCCACGTCCACGTCCACGTCCACGTCCACGACCACGTCCACGTCCACGTCCACGTCCACGTCCACGTCCACGTCCACGTCCACGTCCACCTCCACGTCCACGTCCACGTCCACGTCCACGTCCACGTCCACGTCCACCTCCACGTCCACGTCCACGTCCATGTCCACGTCCACGTCCACGTCCATGTCCACGTCCACGTCCACGTCCATGTCCACGTCCACGTCCACGTCCATGTCCACGTCCACACGTCCACGTCCAAGTCCACGTCCACGTCCACGACCACGTCCACGTCCACGTCCACGACCACGACCACGTCCACGTCCACGTCCACGACCACGTCCACGTCCTCCACGTCCACGTCCACGACCACGTCCACGTCCTCCACGTCCACGTCCACGTCCACGACCACGTCCACGTCCACGTCCATGTCCACGTCCAAGTCCTCCACGTCCACAACCACGTCCACGTCCACGTCAACGTCCACGTCCACGACCACGTCCACGTCCACGACCACGTCCACGTCCACGACCACGTCCACGTCCACGTCCACGTCCACGACCACGTCCACGTCCTCGTCCACGTCCATGTCCACGTCCACGTCCACGTCCACGTCCACGTCCACGTCCATGTCAACGTCCACGTCCACGTCCACGTCCACGTCCACGTCCACGTCCAGGTACACGTCCACGTCCATGTCCACGTCCACGTCCACGTCCACGTCCACGTCCACGACCACGTCCACGTCCACGTCCACGTCCACGTCCACGTCCACGTCCACGTCCACGTCCACGTCCACCTCCACGTCCACGTCCACGTCCACGTCCACGTCCACGTCCACGTCCATGTCCACGTCCACACGTCCACGTCCATGTCCACGTCCATGTCCACGTCCACGTCCACGTCCACGTCCACGTCCACGTCCACGACCACGTCCACGTCCACGACCACGTCCAGGTCCACGTCCACGTCCACATCACGTCCAAGACCACGTACGTACACGTCCACGTCCACGTCCACGTCCACGACCACGTCCACGTCCACGTCCACGTCCACGACCACGTCCACGTCCACGACCACGTCCACGACCACGTCAACGTCCACGTCCACGTCCTTGTCCACGTCCACGTCCACGTCCACGACCACGTCCAGGTCCACGTCCACGTCCACGTCCACGACCACGTCCACGACCACGTCCACGACCACGTCCACCTCCACGTCCACGTCCACGTCCACGTCCACGTCCACTTCCACGTCCACGACCACGTCCACGACCACGTCCACGTCCACGTCCACTTCCACTTCCACGTCCACGTCCACGTCCACTTCACGTCCACGTCCACGTCCACGACCACGTCCACGACCACGTCCACGACCACGTCCAAGTCCACGTCCATGTCCACGTCCACGACCACGTCCACGTCCACGTCCACGACCACGTCCACGACCACGACCACGTCCACGTCCAAGTCCAAGTCCACGTCCACGTCCACGACCACGTCCACGTCCACGTCCACGTCCACGTCCACGACCACGTCCACGACCACGTCCACGACCACGTCCACCTCCACGTCCACGTCCACGTCCTTGTCCACGTCCACGTCCATGACCACGTCCACGTCCATGTCAACGTCCACGTCCACATCCACGACCACGACCACGTCCACGTCCACGTCAACGTCCATGTCCACGTCCACGTCCATGTCCACGTTCACGTCCACGTCCACGTCCACGACCACGTCCACGTCCACGACCACGTCCACATCCACGTCCACGACCACGTCCACGACCACGTCCACGACCACGTCCACGTCCACGTCCACGTCCACGTCCATGTCCACGTCCACTTCCACGTCCACGTCCATGTCCACGTCCACGTCCACGTCCACGTCCACGTCCACGTCCATGTCCACGTCCACGTCCATGTCCACGTCCACGTCCATGTCCATGTCCACGTCCACGTCCACGTCCACGTCCATGTCCACGTCCACGTCCATGTCCACGTCCACGTCCACGTCCACCTCCATGTCCACGTCCATGTCCACGTCCACGTCCACGTCCACGTCCATCTCCACGTCCACGTCCACGTCCACGTCCACGTCCACCTCACGTCCACGTCCACGCCCATGTCCACGTCCACGTCCACGTCCACGTCCACGTCCATGTCCACGTTCACGTCCATGTCCACGTCCACGTCCACGTCCACGTCCACGTCCACCTCACGTTCACGTCCACGTCCATGTCCACGTCCACGTCCACGTCCACGTCCACGTCCATCTCCACGTACACGTCCACGTCCATGTCCACGTCCACGTCCACGTCCATGTCCACGTCCACGTCCACGTCCACGTCCACGTCAACGTCCACGTCCATGTCCACGTCCACGTCAACGTCCACGTCCACGTCCACGTCCACGTCCACTTCCACGTCCACGTCCACGACCACGTCCACGACCACGTCCACGACCACGTCCACCTCCACGTCCACGTCCACGTCCTTGTCCACGTCCACGTCCACGTCCACGTCCACGTCCATGTCAACGTCCACGTCCACATCCACGACCACGACCACGTCCACGTCCACGTCCACGTCCATGTCCACGTCCACGTCCACGTCCATCTCCACGTACACGTCCACGTCCATGACCACGTCCACGTCCACGACCACGTCCACATCCACGTCCACGACCACGTCCACGACCACGTCCACGACCACGTCCACGTCCACGTCCACGTCCACGTCCACGTCCACGTCCACGTCCACTTCCACGTCCACGTCCACGACCACGTCCACGACCACGTCCACGACCACGTCCACCTCCACGTCCACGTCCACGTCCTTGTCCACGTCCACGTCCATGACCACGTCCACGTCCATGTCAACGTCCACGTCCACATCCACGACCACGACCACGTCCACGTCCACGTCAACGTCCATGTCCACGTCCACGTCCATGTCCACGTTCACGTCCACGTCCACGTCCACGACCACGTCCACGTCCACGACCACGTCCACATCCACGTCCACGACCACGTCCACGACCACGTCCACGACCACGTCCACGTCCACGTCCACGTCCACGTCCATGTCCACGTCCACTTCCACGTCCACGTCCATGTCCACGTCCACGTCCACGTCCACGTCCACGTCCACGTCCATGTCCACGTCCACGTCCATGTCCACGTCCACGTCCATGTCCATGTCCACGTCCACGTCCACGTCCACGTCCATGTCCACGTCCACGTCCATGTCCACGTCCACGTCCACGTCCACCTCCATGTCCACGTCCATGTCCACGTCCACGTCCACGTCCACGTCCATCTCCACGTCCACGTCCACGTCCACGTCCACGTCCACCTCACGTCCACGTCCACGCCCATGTCCACGTCCACGTCCACGTCCACGTCCACGTCCATGTCCACGTTCACGTCCATGTCCACGTCCACGTCCACGTCCACGTCCACGTCCACGTCCACCTCACGTTCACGTCCACGTCCATGTCCACGTCCACGTCCACGTCCACGTCCACGTCCATCTCCACGTACACGTCCACGTCCATGTCCACGTCCACGTCCACGTCCACGACCATGTCCACGTCCACGTCCACGTCCACGTCAACGTCCACGTCCATGTCCACGTCCACGTCAACGTCCACGTCCACGTCCACGTCCACGTCCACTTCCACGTCCACGTCCACGTCCACGTTCACGTCCATGTCCACGTCCACGTCCACGTCCACGTCCATGTCCACGTCCACGTCCACGTCCACGTCCACGTCAACGTCCACGTCCATGTCCACGTCCACGTCCACGTCCACGTCCACGTCCACGTCCACCTCACGTTCACGTCCACGTCCATGTCCACGTCCACGTCCACGTCCACGTCCACGTCAACGTCCACGTCCATGTCCACGTCCACGTCCACGTCCACGTCCACGTCCACGTCCACTTCCACGTCCACGTCCACGTCCACGTTCACGTCCATGTCCACGTCCACGTCCACGTCCACGTCCATGTCCACGTCCACGTCCACGTCCACGTCCACGTCAACGTCCACGTCCATGTCCACGTCCACGTCCACGTCCACGTCCACGTCCACGTCCACCTCACGTTCACGTCCACGTCCATGTCCACGTCCACGTCCACGTCCACGTCCACGTCCATCTCCACGTACACGTCCACGTCCATGTCCACGTCCACGTCCACGTCCACGTCCACGACCATGTCCACGTCCACGTCCACGTCCACGTCAACGTCCACGTCCATGTCCACGTCCACGTCAACGTCCACGTCCACGTCCACGTCCACGTCCACGTCCATCTCCACGTACACGTCCACGTCCATGTCCACGTCCACGTCCACGTCCACGACCATGTCCACGTCCACGTCCACGTCCACGTCAACGTCCACGTCCATGTCCACGTCCACGTCCACGTCCACGTCCACGTCCACGTCCACTTCCACGTCCACGTCCACGTCCATGTCCACGTCCACGTCCATGTCCACGTCCACGTCCACGTCCACGTCCATCTCCACGTACACGTCCACGTCCATGTCCACGTCCACGTCCACGTCCACGTCCACGACCATGTCCACGTCCACGTCCACGTCCACGTCAACGTCCACGTCCATGTCCACGTCCACGTCAACGTCCACGTCCACGTCCACGTCCACGTCCACGTCCACTTCCACGTCCACGTCCACGTCCACGTCCACTTCCACGTCCACGTCCACGTCCACGTCAACGTCCATGTCCATGTCCACGTCCACGTCAACGTCCATGTCCATGTCCACGTCCACTTCAACGTCCACGTCCACGTCCACGTCAACGTCAACGTCCACTTCCACGTCCACGTCCACGTCAACGTCCACGTCCACGTCCATGTCCACGTCCACGTCAACGTCCACGTCCACGTCCACGTCCACGTCCACTTCCACGTCCACGTCCACGTCCACGTCCACTTCCACGTCCACGTCCACGTCCACGTCCACGTCCACTTCCACGTCCACGTCCACGTCCACGTCCACGTCCACGTCCATGTCCACGTCCACGTCCACGTCCACGTCCACTTCCACGTCCACGTCCACG